GAGAAAGTAATTAACTACTTAGTTAAAGGGATTCACCAGGTTATGTAAAGTGTGGCTGGGCTGAGAACGTCTGCTCGGTTAGTGTCTTACCTGCAGCTGATAGAAGTTTAGGGAATCTAGGAGGAACTTTCATGAAGAAATTGAGCTAATCATTGAAAATGTTTAAACTCACTGCCTGATCCTATCAGACACACATTCATAATCCAACTCTTAACATAAGCCATAAGAAAGTTTTACTTCCAGCTGATTATTTAGCTAAAGTGTCAAATTTATTATTAAAATTAAATTTGAACACATTTTGATTTGAAGAGATTTCGCTCGAACTGGTTTACTCAGAATTTGAACTTGCGTGAACTCATTGTCTCCGGTATAAAAGGAAATATTTAGCATAAAACTGTAATTCTGGTTCTGAAAACAAACCACCAAACTAAACGTTGTGAACAGATGCTGTTCTAGAGCCGACACGTGCAGCTTTTTGGTGTTAATGTCCACATTGAATCTAAATAATAGTTTCGAAATTATAAAACAAGAGTAAAGTAGAGACATTAGTTGTCTCTGTGGAGTTCCACAGGGCTCAATACTAAGCCCATTCATTTAACAATAATTTAGACTGTAAATAAAACAAATGGATTAAATCATTTGATTATCACTTCAAGTTAAAAGTTCTATCATGTTGGATGAATTTTGTTTCTCTTTATCTCGGTCCTCAGTGCTTCAACTACTGAATTGTCCAGCGGGTTTGACAGCATGGAGAGCCTGGACCCACCCCAGTCTTCTCATCTCCACTCCACAGCACAGAACCAGCACCAGCATGGTCACAATGGGTCTCACCCAGCATACTCCTCCAACCACCAGCTGTCCTCTTCCAGGTTCATACAAACTACAAATCACATTCATTCAGAACGCTTTTACAGGTTTTCTAATATTTGGTTAAAGGCCAAGTTTGCTGAAAAAATGTTTTTTACGTGTTATTTTTGAAACATGTGCTGTTTAAATGTGAAAGTAGTCCTCTCCCCCTGTTTCCTCCATTAGCTTCTGGTAGAGAATAGACGGGCAAATGCATTCATGCACTCATGCATTCAACATTCGTGCACTCACCCATGTTGACTCGTGACGGGGAAGGCTTCTTGGTTAGCAGAAGCTAACTGTTAGCATTAGCAACTCCACCACATGACAGAACTCCGCCAGGCTTGTGTTATTTGTGGAGATAAAACATCAACGTTGCAGAGCAAACAGACTCAGTGGTAGAGTTGTGTTGCTGTTAGCCAATCAGAGGAGAGATGTCCAAATACCAGGAAATAAGACTCCAAATCCGGTTGTCTTCTGCTCCCTTTTGACCAGGTGCACTTCCAGTTTTGGAAACCGGAGCGCCAGAGCTTTCTCCCACAGAGATAGACTCACAAGGCATTCATGTACACTAGAGACCACTGAAGATGTGCTGAAACAAACAAACAAACAACAAACAAATGAACTTGGTCTTTAACTAAAACTGTGACTCTTGCAGTAAAAACAAACTGTCTGTGAGCCCAGCAGGGGGCGATGACATCAACAGTAACAACACAGCGACATAAAAGAAGAAAAAGTTTTTTTACTTGATATTTTTTCTTCCAAACACTTAACCATTTCATCATAATGCATTCATTCCATCATGGATAGTAATCACTAATTAAACCAGTTTTCTATGTTTCAGGTCATCGAACAGTATCGACCACCTGCACAGCAAGCGAGACTCCGCCTACTCCTCCTTTTCCAACTGCTCCAGTCTGGCGGAATACCTCGCCTCGACGCCCTCGTACAGCCCGGAGCGCTCCTACTCTCTGGAGACGGTCTCTCAGAGAGGCGGAGGAAGCGCAGAGCTACTGCAGGTGGACGTTCCTCATACCCGGACGTTTTATGACAACCAGCAGGGCCTCTCTCAGGAGCCAGAGCTAAGCTCCACCTCTGCCACGTTGCTAAGCAACAGCGATTCCAGAGGAGGTGTGAGAGCAGGACTAGCCCGAGATCTCCAAGGTGAAATTTCTGTTTCACAGGAAGTTCTCTTGGGTGTTACCATGTCAACCTAGACATCACTCATCCCCTCGATGCTGTAGGTTCAGTTGGTGGTGTCTGTTACCGTAGCAACGCCAGTGGCAGGACCAGTGGCAGCATGCCGGCTTCTAACAGGCACAGCGTTGGACCAATATGGGGCCCGGCGACTGGCCACAACTCGTACGAGAGCCTGAAAGGGGCGCCTGCTCCACCGAGGCGCAGCGACAGCTACGCCGCCATCAGGAACCACGAGAGACCAAACTCCTGGTCCAGTCTGGAGCACGGCCGGTCTCTACGGTGAGCAAGGTCTTCTGTCTCACGCAAGAGCAGTCACGTTACTGGTATCCATTATGGCCTGATGCCATTTGCCTACTGGTGTAGCAGTTCCGATGCTCAGTGGAAACCTCAGTTTTCAGTCAAAGCAATAATTTTCTAAAATGAAAGAATACCGAGCCAGAGGAAACAGTTACACGAGTTTTATTTTGTTTCGTCCTCTAATTTCACTCAGGTCTCTGCAGAAAGGTTCCTGGCATCACTCCAGTGGCCCGGTGGCTTCAGGTAAGGTCGTGAATGGCTTCTTTATTTTCTTCTTCCGGAGCAGCCACGTCCCTGAAAACAGGAAACAAACTTTATATGGAAATGGTGAAGGTTCTCAGTCATCCAGGTCAGGGTGATCCAAAAGGGTTCAAATGAAGGCAGCTGGACTTCTTTGGTTTCTTGAAGACGTCTCTCTTCTCATCCGAGGAGCGTAAGGCGTAGGTGGACTGCAGAGTCTTGACCTGAAGAGGTGGCTGTCCTGTGCTGTGCCATGCTCTTGTGTAACTGTTGTTTAGTTTCCCCGGTGTGAAGATCTGGACAGTCCTCACTACACTGGACTGCATAAACGACGCAGTCTTGTGTTTTGTCTCGTGGATGGACCAGGTTCTGTCTGAGGGTGTTGTTGGGTTTAAAGTTTACCGGGATGTTGTGTTTGTTGTGTCTGAGACTTCTGCCACGTATGGGATGATGGTGCCTTTGCGCCTGTTGGCCTTTTCCTTGCTGGTTGCTGCTGTGGATGCTTTTCCAGACTTCTTTGTTGATTAGTTAGTTTCTGCTCGTTAAATAACAACAGACGGCTACAGCTAATAAGACTGACTCTCCCATATTCCAGTCAGAATTGACAAAGCTCCTTGGATGAGAAGCAAAATTTCTTCAAGAAACCAAAAAAGTCCAGTTACCTTCATTTGAACCCTTTTGGGTTTGTAAACAGGGGCGGATTTAGCAATTTGGGGGCCCAAGGCGAACACAGACATGGGGCCCCTTACACTAAGTTTTCGACAATCTTACCTTTAACTGGATTTGCTAAACTCTCCCCCTTCTGACACGAGTTATTTTCACTTTTTATTAGTCCTCCTCTTTTTTCCTGTCTTTCCCGCCCTTTGAGCGCTTTCAATATTTGCTCTGCTTTCTTCTTCCTGTTAGTGCTCCTGTGCTTTTGCCTTAGTTATTTTTCTTCTCTTTTCCATTTTGGTCTATGTTTTCCTCCCTTTAAACATTTTCCATTGTCTTTCCTTTCTGCTTCCTTTTGATGTTTACATTGAGAAACAACGTCAATTTAAAGAACCCTAGCGCTGAAAAGCAATCAAATAAAAATGAGTCTTAAGACGAGACTTAAAGACTGGAAGGGACGGTGCCTGCCTAATGCCCAATGGCAATTCATTCCACAGAGTTGGAGCCAAAACAGAAAACGCACGATAACCCCTCGATCGATATCTCGACCGGAGGACCACCAGAAGTTCCTGCTCGGCTGAGCAAAGAGACTGAGATGGAGCATACCTGTGCAAAAGTGCAGTAATGTAGGAGGGGGCACTGCCCTGGAGGGCTTTATAAACAAAAGTTAAGATTTTAAATTTAGCTCGGAATTGCACCGGGAGCCAGTGCAGAGTAGTCAGTACTGGAGTAATGTGATCTCGACATCTAGTACCTGTCAGGATCCTAGCCACTGAGTTCTGCACAAACTGGAGTCGTGCAACCGTGCACTGGGCCAGACCGGCTTACAGAGCGTTACAGTAGTAAAACCGCCACTGTTTACAAAGAGCAGGTTCACTGGGAAACCAAAGTCACTCTGACTTTAACATGCAGGCTGAACATGAAAATAGTCTCCTACACCTGTCTCCTGCAGTAGCTTCTGATAGAAAACAGGCGGTGAAACTAGGATTAGGAAATCCTGACAGATCTACGTCACACTGTCACTAACATTCATGGACTCACCCATCTGGACTCACGACGGGGAAGGCTGTTGTTGGTTTATCGTCCAGGAAACAGCAGAGAACGTCTCAGCTAGTAGAAGCTAACATTAGCATTAGCAACTCCACCAGGGCTTTTTTCCCCCAGAGAACGAGTTACAAGGCATTCATTCCCAGTAGAAACTAATGCAGACGTGTTAACATTTGACCTCTAAGTGGTCTGCTGTGTGATGTCGGCTCATCTCTTGAGTTAGGAGCACTTCTAAGATTCTGGTACAAGAACTGACACAGAAAGCAAAATCAGCCAACGTCCAAAGAAAAACTCAGTTATTGATCAAACCCACTTCAAAGGGTCACATGAATAGAGTCCTGCTTGGAAAGAGAACAGGTAAGAACTTGTTCTGGACTTTTGGACAAGCTGGTATCTCATCACCGCTGTTGGGAACTGGAATCCATCTACATCCAACAACAGTTGTCTGACAAGCTTAGATCTGATGGAACACTGACCAACATGCCTTACTTTGTTTCCAGCCAAAGGTTTGTTTGGTCCTGATGGTCAGCTCCACACCGTGATTGAGAAGAGTCCAGAAGGCAGTCCCACAACAAAGCCTCGACAGGGCGGGGCGTTTTCCCAGCCTCCGTTCCCGACCGGGCCCTCCTCTGGACTTGCTGGTCCCCCCTCCCCATCCGGTCGGGTCTTTCTTCCTACAGGCGTGTACCCTGTTCCTCAGCCGGAGCCACATTTTGCCCAGGTGCCCAGCTCCAGTTCCTGTCCAGGTCCATCTGGAGTCTACCCTGCCATGGCGAAAGAGAGCCGGCATCAGCAGACACCGGGACCGTGTGGTGTCAACGGGAGGGATGAGCGGATGTCAGCTGAAGAAAAGGGGGTCCAAAGTAACGGTTCTTCCCAATGCCCCAGCTCGTCTTACTCGGCGTCGTCACAGCTCAGGACTCGAGCACTCGAGACCGAGAGGTGAGGCGTTAGCTTAACCTCCATCAGTGATGTCTTCTTGGGTTCATATTTGGTCCTGAGTCTGACTCTGACCTGTCTCTAGTAGGTATCAGCAGCAGGAGCGGACCCATAAGTCACACTCAAAAACAATCGGGGGGGAATCAGACTGCCAGATTGGACCCCGAAGGACCCCAAATCAGCAAGGGCCTTTCATTCAAAACCTCCACAGGCTGCCTTCCGAAGAACAGAACCAGGAGTTCAGGGTTCTCCCTGTCCTTTCTGGTCCAGAACTTAAAACTTCTACCTCACAGGGAAAGAACGATCCCAGGTACGTTACTCTGTGTTCATTACCTGTTTTACTTCTGTGTTTTCACCTCCTAACTCTTTATCTGTCTTCAAATCTAGAGATCAGAGCCTTTCAGAGCCAGCAGCGTCATCCAGACTTGCCCAGGGACAGGTGCGACCCACCTGCCCCTCACCTGCTCAACCCCAGCCTCATGCTCCACCCACCCCCACTTCACAGCGGTCTCCTTGCCACTTCAGTGACTCAGCAGCTCCTCAGTATGACCAACAACGAGAAGAAGACACCCACAGCGAGCACCCCCTGACTCGCCTGGAGAACGCTCTTGCTGAGGTCCAGCGCTGCACCAGCGGGGGTTTTGGCAGTAGCCATGACAACGGCAGTTTTAGCAATCCCACCCAAGCTCCTGCTCGCAGCCTCTCTGTTATGGATAAAGTGAGTCGGTTTGAGCGACGGGAACATGGTGGAAAACAGCGCAGCCACAGCATCAGCACCAAACCCACCCAAACCTGGGTAAACCCGACACACCGAGCTTGTCCTTCGGCCGGAGCCGTCAGAGTTCAGTGAGCCTCCTTAAAGACCAAGTTCACAGAGAAACTGGTTTAACTTTTTAAGATATAAGTCACTCTAAGTGAACGTGAAAATAGTCTCCTACACCTATTTCCTGAGTTAGCCGCCGATGAAGCTAACAGTTAGCATTAGCAACTCCACAACACAAGAGAACTCCTCCAGGCTTGTGTTATTTGTGGAGTTAAAACAGTTTACAAGGCAAACAGAGTCAGTGGTAGACTTGTGTTGCTGTTAGCCAATCAGAGGCGAGATGTCCAAACAGGAAGTAACACTCCAAATCCTGCTGTTTTCTGCTCACCTGTGCTCTGGCTCGCTGCCACCTCCTGAAACAGGAGCGCCAGAGCTTTTTTTCCCTCACAGAGGTCAGCTCATAACACATTCATTTCTACTAGAGACCACTGCCGATGTGCAGAAAAAACGAGTGAACTTGGTCTTTAAATGGCAGCCCTGGGACCTTTTTAGCTGTTTTGCTAATCCAGTATGTTTTTGGCTTTCTGATTTTGAATCAGATGACTGATAAAGGTCGTGGCGCCGCCCCGTGTGGAGCTGATGACCTTAGACACATGCTGGAGAGAAGCGTGAAAGTGTCCAAAACCCACCGGACGATTAGCTTCAGAGGCGTCAGCGGCGAATACATGAAACACAGGTAGGAGAAATGGATGCTAAAGTATTACCTCTGTTATTCCGCGCATCTGTTCGAAAGCCGCACAAGCCTATGTTTGAGCTGTGACATCACAATGTACGTGTGCACAATCGGCAGATTGCACATAGTCGATCTCAGCATGCTCTCATCTAACGTTAAGGGTACCTGACACGCAGCGATCCACCAATCACCATCATTCTTAATCAGTTTGTGGAAGCAGACCACGAGGGGTTGGTTGTGAGTTGTTTTTCAAATTTCATCAGCATTTTGTCGCACCAATCAGCAACAAAATGCACCTTGGTTGGTCGGAGCTCCACGTGTGAGAGTTGAGGGCAACATTTCAGGACATGTAGTTTAAGGCTTAGCCTCAGCGGGGGGGTGTCAGCCCTTAACCGGTCGGATCAGGCTAGTAGCTTATACGAGGGTGCTAACAGCGGTATATCGTGTTGGACGTGGACGTGAGACTTGGTGTGGACATTAATCTGACTCTTGTGGGCGTAAAAAATACCGTTTCTGTTAGACGTTACCCTGATCAGTCCTTTATGTTTATGTTTATGTATTTAGCAGACACTTTTGTCCAAAGCAACTTACAAGTGATACTCGGCATATTGCCCTTGAGGCTAACAACAACAATAACAACAACATTGACATCAATCATGGAGAGGAGGGAACAAGGAGTGGACAGTAGAGAGGGGGTACGGGTGCAGGGAGGGTGCTAGTTTAGAAGATGCTCTCTGAAGAGCAGGGTCTTCAGGAGTTTCTTGAAAATTGAAAAGGAAGCCGCAGTTCTGGTAGTGCTTGGAAGGTCATTCCACATTTGTGGAACGATGCATGAGAAGAGTCTGGATTGTCCTGAGCGTGGTGTAGGCACTGCTAGCCGACAATCTTGTGATGACCGGAGCGGCCGGGCCGAGATGTAAGCCTTTGCAAGAGGATTCAGGTAGATGGGAGCCGTACCGTCTCGGACTTTGTATGCTAGTGTTAGCAATTTGAATTTGATGCATGCTGCTAGCGGTAGCCAGTGGAGCTCAATGAACAGAGGGGTGACGTGTGCTCTTTTTGGCTGATTGAAGACCAGACGCCCCGCTGCGTTCTGGACCATTTGAAGAGGTCTCACAGTACAGCCTGGAAGACCAGTTAGAAGGGCGTTGCAGTCATCGAGGCGGGAGATGACAGTAGATTGCACCACTCACAGTTCAAAGGAACCGTGAGTGGTTTACTAGTTAAATGCTGAGCAGGGAGAATGTAATCCACTGCTCGCTGTACGTAAAACACAAACAGGTGCAGCCATCTTGGAAAATTCATAAATATTATTAATATTGCAATATACGCCACAGGGTTAGAAACATCCTTTCCAGTACTTTACAGCCCTAATCTGGGCTCAATAAAGACGAATCTGGTGTTTATCAACACCACAAAGCACTAAATATGATTTTTTTGGGGGGGTTGCCTTGCAGATAAAACAAAGAGACAGGACTATACAAAAATCACCTCCTGAAAAGCTGTTAAATTTAAAGATTTAATCTGTTTGCTGTTCAGGAAAACAGCAGATCCCATCTCAGCCCTGCAGAGAAGCCGCAGCAGCTTCCAGCTGGATGGATCAATGGACGGAGACAACAGCAAGGACTTTCCGTGGAAACAGGAACTTCAACAGATACCGGACCCTCTGCAGGACTCATCCTCCATCAGGTCAGAGTTCAGAGTCCTCCAGAATGTCAGTCCTGATCTGACAGGGTCTCCTTGAAAAGACTAATGTTTTTACCGCTTCCTCCTACATATCAGTGAAGTCAGGAACCTCCTGACCCCAAGGGATGCAGAAAAACGAGTCCAGACCTGATTACTGTAACATCACTAATATATGTGCTTGTAAGGACCCTTTTCAACTCCAGAGTGCGGTTCCAAGGCTTCTCCACTAGGAATGGTTCCCAGGTTGCCACCTCTCTTTTTCGTACCAACTTCGCTGTTCCAGGCGGAACAAGCTGGGCCCAAAAGGCAATGTCAGAAAATTGCCGTTGCTGATTGGCTAGGGGACGGAGCACTGGATTAGTACTCTGCCTTTAATCTGGAATGTTTTTTGTTGGTTTGAGGGCATTAATTGTTGTTTTCATGCTCAGATCTTGTTCTCTCTCTCTCAAAACTCTGTTCACACCCAACTTATTGCATTCAGAGTAGTGCAGTTTTACAACAGCACAACAGGCAGGCAGGCAGGTAGGTAGGTAGGTAGGTAGGTAGGTTGGTGGGTAGGTAGGTAGGTTGGTGGGAAGGTGGGTGGGTAGGTAGGTAGGTAGGTAGGTAGGTAGGTAGGTAGGTAGGTAGGTAGGTAGGCGGGTAGGTGGGTGGGTGGGTAGGTAGGTAGGTAGGTAGATAGGTAGGCAGGCAGGTAGGTAGGTAGGTAGGTTGGTGGGTAGGTGGGTGGGTAGGTAGATAGGTAGGTAGGTAGGTAGGTAGGCGGGTAGGTGGGTGGGTGGGTGGGTAGGTAGGTAGGTAGGCGGGTAGGCGGGTAGGTAGGTAGGTAGGTTGGTGGGTAGGTGGGTGGGTGGGTAGGTAGGTAGGTAGGTAGGTTGGTGGGTAGGTGGGTGGGTGGGTAGGTAGGTAGGTAGGTAGGTAGGTTGGTGGGTAGGTGGGTGGGTAGGTAGATAGGTAGGTAGGTAGGTAGGTAGGTAGGCGGGTAGGTGGGTGGGTGGGTAGGTAGGTAGGTAGGCGGGTAGGCGGGTAGGTAGGTAGGTAGGTTGGTGGGTAGGTGGGTGGGTGGGTAGGTAGGTAGGTAGGTAGGTAGGTAGATAGGTAGGCAGGCAGTTAGGTAGGTAGGTAGGTAGGTAGGTTGGTGGGTAGGTGGGTGGGGAGGTAGGTAGGTAGGTAGGTAGGTAGGTAGGTAGGCGGGTAGGTAGGTGGGTGGGTAGGTAGGTAGGTAGGTAGATAGGTAGGCAGGCAGGTAGGTAGGTAGGTAGGTAGGTTGGTGGGTAGGTGGGTGGGTAGGTAGGTAGGTAGGCGGGTAGGCGGGTAGGTAGGTAGGTAGGTTGGTGGGTAGGTGGGTGGGTGGGTGGGTAGGTAGGTAGGTAGGTAGGCGGGTAGGCGGGTAGGTAGGTAGGTAGGTAGGTAGGTTGGTGGGTAGGTGGGTGGGTAGGTAGGTAGGTAGGCGGGTAGGTAGGTAGGTAGGTTGGTGGGTAGGTGGGTGGGTGGGTAGGTAGGTAGGTAGGTAGGCGGGTAGGTAGGTAGGTAGGTAGGTTAGTGGGTAGGTGGGTAGGTAGGTAGGTAGGTAGGCGGGTAGGTAGGTAGGTAGGTAGGTAGGTAGGTAGGTTGGTGGGTAGGTGGGTGGGTAGGTGGGTAGGTAGGTAGGTAGGTAGGTAGGTAGGCGGGTAGGCGGGTAGGTAGGTAGGTAGGTAGGTTGGTGGGTAGGTGGGTGGGTGGGTAGGTAGGCAGGTAGGTAGGTAGGTTGGTGGGTAGGTGGGTGGGTAGGTGGGTAGGTAGGTAGGTAGGTAGGCGGGTAGGCGGGTAGGTAGGTAGGTAGGTAGGTTGGTGGGTAGGTGGGTGGGTGGGTGGGTAGGTAGGTAGATAAGTAGGTAAGTAGGTAGGTAGGTAGGTAGGTAGGCGGGTAGGCGGGTAGGTAGGTAGGTAGGTAGGTTGGTGGGTAGGTGGGTGGGTAGGTGGGTAGGTAGGTAGGTAGGTAGGCGGGTAGGCGGGTAGGTAGGTAGGTAGGTAGGTTGGTGGGTAGGTGGGTGGGTGGGTGGGTAGGTAGGTAGATAGGTAGGTAAGTAGGTAAGTAGGTAGGTAGGTAGGTAGGTAGGCAGCCTGCAGTCTTTTTGGGATTTTTGTAATCCAGATTTAGATCTGATCAGATTCTTTTAGTTCCAAAGATTAATTGGGTTTAGTCCTGCCTGGTCCTTGTTTTTGAGCTGCAGGTGTATAGCACCAGTTGGGCTTGTGATTTGGCTCTCTGGTTTTTGATGGGTTCCACATCATTGGTACCATGTTTGAGGACCACTGTGAAGGTCACAGTTTTTTATATATATTTATTCTGTTGCAAGTGTAGATATGGATATTTCTGTCCACAAACCGGGTGTTACATCTTATTAAACAAGCATTTAAAAGGTATTGAAAAGGTAATAAATGTCACTACAAACCTGGAGCTAAAACCTTTGAGAATACACCTTCACATGTTACTTCATACAAAGTGTGTGTGTATACTTTTCAGAGTCTGACTAAACATCCAAACGGAGCAGAACGTTTAACATCTCCACCATGTCCACCATTGTTTTTTGCGGTACTGCCCAGCTGTGAAGAACCCGCCCACTAGAGCTGTTTCTTAATTGTAACAGACGCCCACCGAAGCTTGTAGAAGCTAGCCGCACTGAGCTGCTGAGTAGGTGCCAGCAGAGCACCTCTGCAGTAGTAGGCTCCTCTGGAGGAACCAGCTTCTAGTTTCCATCCGTGATATAGAGACCTACTGCGTCGACCTGGGCCTGACCTCAGCTGGACCTTTTATTAAGACTTTTGAACAGCACTGCGACATGACTTGCTGTGAACTGATGCTTAATCAAACAAATTGATTTCCTTCAGATGGAGAGACATCAGCTCATCAGTCAGCAGCCAGCAGCCTCCAGCCATCCCTGCCAAGAACTACTCACTGGAGAAAAAAGGTCCTAAAACCAAGCCTAAACCGCAAGGTGTCGTCATCGCGCCTCAGCTTTTGGTCACTTCCCCTCACACCCCAAAGGAGAGACACATGGTCAGCCCTGACATTCCAGACCAGAGCCCACCTCCTCTTCCCAGAGTTCCTCCGGTCGGACCACCTCCCCTAACCAGGATCTGTGGCCGCAAGCGTCTGACAGCGAACCAGAAGAAGCGTTCGTACTCGGAACCAGAGAACATGAATGAGGTTGGGGTTTCGGATCCAGAGACGGCTGCCTTTTTCCGGCGTGGAGGAGGTAAATTCATCTCCAGTTCCTGTCTAGGTCTAAGAACGTTTTAATCTCAGCTTCCTGAGAGGCAGCTCAACAGATTTTCATCTCTCATCTCTAACAGAAACCAGCGTGGCGGACCGCAGGAAGATGTTTGAACTTGCAGCTATTCGGGTCGGCAAAGGCACCTTTCAAAACGCCATGTCCAGGTCTGACCTACAACAAGTCCGCCAGGAGGCGCTGGCTGAGTACGTGGAGAGGAAGCAAGGAGTTAGGAGAGAGGAAGGAGGACAGAGCAGGAAATCGAGGCCTCGTAGCGCGTACCTTCAGTATGAAAACAGCAGCCACTCAGGTGAGCCCAGGCTGGATGAACATTCCTGTCCTAGTCCCTACCCGTGGCCTTTGCGTTCCTGGAAATATCTTTGTCACCTTCTGAAGAGGTTTTCCCCTACTGCATGGGAATATCCCGTTGTACCTTATAATCTTGGGTTGAGAAGCAGCTCGTTGTCAAATGCTTCATTTCCACCGATTGGTACGATGCAAGTTTCCGTTGTTCAAGCGGTCCTTCGAACTGGCCCGTGCTGGCCATTCCTGGGCCCCCTTCCGCCAACAGTACACCGCTGCAGACCCGGACACCGCAGATTCAGGCCGACTGCAGATTCAGGCTTGTACTGTTTTTGAGACAGTGACCTCTAAAGGACCATCGTGTAACTGCAACTGCAGATTCAAGCTTCTACTGTTTAACAGTTACACATAAAAATGAGTAATTCTTGGTGAAGCTAATTAAAAATTGTTTATTTGTTGTTAAAGCTTCAGTGAAGTAGTTCTCAGAATACACTCCTGAGTAACTTAATAATAAAAGTTTTTATCATATTTGTTTAATTGAGGTTGTTTGTAGAAACAAAATAAAAAAATAAAAACTTTTTCCAGTTTTCCTGGTTCTGGACATCCTTAGATCAACCACCTCGTAACACCTTGATGGACCAAAACACACGTGGCTCATTAATTCAGTCCAGAACGCTGTGATGAACTGAATATGTTTTATTAAAGTAAAACTTTATTTAAAACCCAGCTGCATTATTATTGGTCCTTTGGATGGTCCATTATGTTTTTGGATTTCTTCCTTCTTACTACTTAAACAAATACTGTTCTCCACGTTCTATACTTACTCTCCGATCGTACTCCATCTTGGAATGCTAGCAAACAGTGGGCGGCGCCGTCTCAAAAACAGTACAAGCCTGAATCTGCAGTCTCCGGGTCTGCAGCGATACCCAGGGGCGCAGATAGGATTTTCAAATGGTGGGGGGGGGGGGGGGGCAAAGTTCCAATGTACCCTCCCCCAAACACATACACACACACACCCACACATACACACACACACACACACACGCACGTACACAAACTATTGCAAGCGCCTTAACTAGAGCTCAGTCAGTTTGTGTAATTTCCTCCAACGGTTTACGTAAAAACTAACTTTTATATACGTGTTTGAAGCCGTTATGCAACAGAGCTCTGCCTGATCAGCACTATAAATGATAAATGACCCACACTTGTATAGTGCCTCTCAGAGTAAGGACTCCAAAGCGCTTTACACTACAGTGTATCATTCATCCATTCACACTCATTCACACTAGGGGTTGTATGAACTAGTCGACCTCACTGCTCTGTAGTGACTTTTTATGCCTGTCATCAACTAGTCGCTGTCATGTGATGATGACAAGATGCAGTCCTCGGAAAAGACAGCAGGTGATGAGCCCCTGCGCGTCGGGAGGCAACGCGCTGTGCCAGAGCGTCGGTACTGACACTGGCGGTAAAAAGGACATTAAACCAAATTGTGACGTTTACCCTCTTGCAATTTAACCTTCCCCTCACCCCCATCCTAACCTTAACCAGCTTGCGCATGCAAAGCTCTGATCGTTGACGCGCTCCAGACATCTGCGTCCTGAGCACGGCCACAGTAACATTATCAAATCAGGTGTCGCCACCTCAAAAACTAATTTAACACGCGATCGTTCATGTCGGCTCATTTCCTTTTATGTTTTCTGTCTTTTATTCTTTTATTTTTGCCTGATGTGTTTCGCTGCTGTGGAGCGGGGCGCATCACCTGTTTTGTCCTCCGGTGACGCACCTCACCGGTGCGGCCGGCGAGCACTCCGCTGTTTTTGCGGTCGGTAGATCTTTTAGAACTGCAGTTCAAAGGTAACTCATGAGGTGAATATATATGAACCCAGGTAGCAGTTTCTCTTTAGGATTGAGAGGAGATGCAGGAAGATAACAAACAGGCAGGACAGAAAAATAGTCAAATAAAAACAAGTTAGTTTTTGTACCTGCTGGTTGCAACAAACAGACACCACTGAAGGTCATCAGAAGTGAGGAACAGAAAATGAAATAATTATTTTAATGTTTAGAGCAGCAGGAACTCTGAGAGGCTGCAGGCGCATCAGTGATATTTTATATATAAATAAAAACGTTCCCCCTGCTGGAACAAGCGGCGTGAACACTCCCCTGAGCATGCCAGACCCTGAGAGCCAGGATGTACTTGCTTTAATCAGGCGTACGTGTGTTTATAAACGTATACAGCTTTTCTGTGCATGTCCCCTATAATTAATGCAACGCGTTTGCAAGCTGCAATATGTGAGCGACCACTAGGGGGAGCTGACAAAACAAGCGAGACATACTCGCCATTGTGGCGCCGTCTCCGGTTTAGCAGTCTTACATCCTATCTACGATACCGCTGCTGTCTTTTCTTCTGTCGTGGACTCAAACTAGCTGCGGATCTTTTCACCGCGTTTATTTTATTTGTACCCTACAAACCCAGCGCTGCATTCATTCAGAGTTCTGTACTGTGCCCCCTAGAGGAGTCCTCCAGTACTACGTGCAGCCTTGAATAGTGTACCGACCTCACGTACCACTCAGTGGAAACTAGGCAACGGTTTAGGAAGACCAGCAGGAAATGGGACTTATCCTGGTGGTTGGAAGACTAGATGAAGGTAGAACCCGGTCCTGAAGGGAAAAGGAGTTTGACACATTCTTCTTTCTGTTACATCTTCTCTTCTTTGCTCCTCAGACACCTTCAGCCTGTCTTCCACCTCCAGCCTTCTCTCCCTTCAGGAATCTACCCCAGATCAGAGCTTCCACCCTGGGGAGAGGAGTCTCTGCTCAACCCTTCCTCCTGGAGGTGACCTGCGGAGCTTCCAGTCCAACCTTTTTTACCCAGGCAGGGTGACCACACCCAGGCCTCCCGCACACCCGACACCGAGGTAACCAGGCCCTTGATGGGTCTCTGATGAAGGAAGCTCATGACTTTAGGGAAGATTTAAAACTCTTCCACCTGATGTCTTCTCTCAGCACTTCTCCTGGATCGGCTCTTGAGCTCCAAACCCAAACCTACCAGGATCTCAACCCCGAGGCCGGCATCAGCAGACCGAGTCTGTCTCAGCACAGAGACTCGAGTCAAGACCACCATCAGCAGACTGCCGAACCTCGACTCAGGCCAAGACTTTCCAAGAAACTCAACGAGGCTTTGCAGAGGGCCGGATCGCCTCGCAGGTCTGCTAGGTCGGTCTCGGCTGAAGACCTCCTGGAGCGTTTGGAACACCAGCCATCGTCTCCTCGACATCACCGCTCTCTGTCCTCCCCGACCGCAGAGAAGCCCAACCAGGTAGCTGAGAAGTTTCCTAACAGGTCAAACTCAAGTATTTCCACTCGGACCCAACTGTTTCTGTGCTTTAGGACTTTTTTCCAGATGAAGTCCAGATGTTTGGTGTCTCCTTCTCTGAACCTGGACGCTGCGCCCTGGCTGCAGACAGGTACGTCTCTGCGGTGCCGACAAGGTGACCGGCAGAAGGTTGTAAGGAAGGTTGCTTGTTAAAAATGGTTTTTCGGTGATCCGTACCTTCAGGTTTTTATGGCCCTTGACCGATTTCTCTAGATTCCTACTTTGAGTGAGTTAAGCTAAAGCCTAGCTCGTCTCTCCTCCTCCTGTGTATGTCTCAGACCTGCAGACGTACACACATCCGGAGATCTGGTCTCTCCCCAGACGTCCCGGTACTCAAGGAGCACCCCTCAGCCTGCAGGACCTTCTCAAGGTAGGAGAGTTATAAACGTTTCTGGGTTTTAAAAACATCTGGAATGCATCTAAAGCTGATGTTGAGTGAAATCAGGCAAACGTTGAGCCAGAGTGAAAGTTTCTGGGACAATCTGAGATTTGACATCTCTCACATCCTTTATCTCTGCTCCGGTCGCAGACCTCCACGCTCCCGTCACTCGTAGGGAGCGCCAGAGCACCTCCACTCTGGCGGCTTCGGTCGGCCTCCCCTGCCCCCTCTCCCCCGCTGGGACTCCAGAAGGAGGAACCTCCGAGTGGAAGGCCAGTGAGAGGCTGAGTCAGGCCAACCTGGACGCCATCGCTTTCCCCGACGTCCCACGAAGCGGCGCGAGCGACAAAAGGCCTGACAGACGCGGTCTGAGCGACGTTCTGGCAGACGAGCCGAAGGACGGATTCAGAAACCGAGCCTTCAGCCTGGAGACCGCTGGAAGGAGTGCGGTTCCTCCTGTCACATCTGCTCCTCCTCCATTCACAAGGTCCGGTGGGAGTTCTCCATCTCCTCCTTCATCGGCCCATCAACACCTGTCCTCTCTGAGGATCTCAGAGTCCAGCTTCTTTGAATCCTTCGAGCAGCAGAAACTTAAGCCTTCGCTGGGACTAGACACTCAGGAGGACTTGGATGATGTTTTCTTCCAAAATCCTCCTCCTCCACCTCCTCCACCTCCACCTCCTCCACCTTTAACAGAGACAGTCATCTCAGAGGACTTCCCCCCTCCTCCACCTCCTCTGGAGATGGAAGCAGTGCAGAGGTTTGCTCTAAAGATGAAATCCCTCCTAAAAACGTCGTTATGTGGATTTATTTTCAGTTTTCTGGGTTCTTTTGCTTTTAGTTCAGACTCTGAGACCAGGTCCGTCTCCACCAGGGCGTCCGTGTCCCGGTCCTCTCCTCCTCCGAATCCACAGCCGTCGACCTCCCTCACCTCCACAGCCGAGGACGACGTGGCGTTGGAATACCAGCCGCTGCTGAGGCGGGAAAAGACACCGGAGGAGCTGAGAGCGGAGGTTCTGGCTCGGCAGCTGGTGGGAATCTCAACTTTATTTATTTAGAAACAGAAAACAATGGGACAGGAAGGAAAACCTCACAAAACACAAGAAACGGAAACGGAGAGGATCGGAAAGTTCTCGAAGAGAAAACGTCTAAAACCAGTGAAGCTGTAAGATAATTACGCCAGCAGTGAAAGTTAAAACAAAAGACAAAGTTAAAGAGTCGTTAAAATTAACTTTTAGTTGAGCTAAACAAGTTTAAAGGTGTGGGAAACTCATTTAATCAATGCATGTGCGGTGGTCTCTGGTAGGAACAAATGCCTTGTAAGCCGTACTCGAGCGCTCGGATCAGTAGGGACAAGTCCGCTGCAGCAGGCGGCACGTTTTGGAGTCTTATTTCCTGATATTTCAACATCTCTCCTCTGATTGGCTAACGGAAACACAACTCTACCGCCGACTCTGTTTGTTCTGCAACGTTGATGTTTTACTTCCACCTATAACACAAGCCTGGAGGAGTTCTGCTGTGTGGTGGTGTTGCTAATGCTAACGGTTAGCTTCTACCAGCAGAGTCGTTCTCTGCTGTTTCCTGGACGCTAAACCAACAGTCTTCCTCGTCATGAGTCATGATGGGTGAGTCCATGAATGTTAGTGACAGGGTGACGTAGATCTGTCAGGATTTTCTATCCTAGAGTTTCACCGTCTGCTTTCTGTCAGAAGCTAATGCAGCAGATAGGTGTAGGAGACTATTTTCATGTTCAGCCTGCATGAAAACTCAGAGTGACCCGTTAGAATCAGAAATAATCATAAAAAATATCATAAAAAATTGTTTTTCGGGTCCAAACCTTTAATTGTGTGTTTTTTTTTACCTAAACTGGGAGCTGAATCTACAAAACTAGAAGTTCCCGGGAATCCTGGCAGTTGTGGGTTTTAACGAGTCAGACATTAGGACGTAGGAGGACGACTCGGCAATGTTTGCATCTTTATAGCTATGCTGGTCTTACTGGGGTCCAGTGGAAGTTAGCTCCAAAAGACCTTCAGGAATCCGGAGACGCTCTGATCCAGAACCACGTTAAAGGAAAGTTGGGAAAGCCTAAAGACCTGAGAAGTTCCTGACATGATTTTATGTCAACGTTTTTATATTTTTAGCTTTTTCTGACTTTTGCTTTCTGTGGTGTTTTGTGCTCCGTGGTCTCCAGGTGCTGCAGGACCCGTCTCTGGCGCCCCTCTTGGACACCTGGGGGGGTGAATCCACCGTGGAGCTGATGGAGGAGATCTTTTCCAACAGCAGACTGACTGATGAACCACAGAAGCATCCAGATGAAAGGTAGCGAGGCTCATGATCACGTTTACGCTGTTACTGAAGCGTAAATCAGCTGAAACGCTCCTGTAGGAGAGGACTGAAGAGAGGCGGAGCCATTTCTGCTGAAGATGAGACGTGAAACTCGAGACGACTTTCCTGTAAACCATCGCTTATCATTCCTGCTGTTTGCTGACGGAGGCCGTCTCTTATCTGCTGCTGGCAGAGGGAAGCAGGAACGTCTCTGTTCTCCGTGTTCACAGAGAGAACAGCAGCTAGTCTGGAGCGTCTCTGAGATAAACACCAAGATCCAGAGGAAGCTGGTTCCTGATGTTTATCTTCTGGAGTCAGGTTCTCTTGTTGTTTGGCTCCGAAGGTAAAACTGGAGACAAACATTCATATTAAAGTAAATCCACAGGTTTAAAGTTCTAAATTATCCATATGTGACTTGTTAGATGGCTTTATGAACAGCTTCTGTTCAGAGAAATAGTTTAGGTCCGATGGGCTAACGGCTAGCCCAAATGTCAAAGTCCAAAGTCCCATTAGTAGTCACACACAGGTGTGTGTGTGAAATTTGTTCTCCGCATTTGACCCATCCCCTGGGGGAGCGGTGAGCTGCAGACACGGCCGCACTCGGGAACCATTTGATGGTCCAACCCCCCCCCCCAATCAAACCCTTTAACTCATTCGCTGCCAGCGTTTCTCACCGCTTTTACTGTTTTTTTAAGAGTGACAGAACGTTGCACGCTAGGATGATGTCAACGCCAAAACAACCAAAACAAAGCGGAGACTCACCTCTTACATCAGGAAGAATCCGTACGTTTCGAGCGTTATCCGTTCTTTCATAATCCGTTGTTGAATTGTGATCGACAGAAGCTTTTCCGGTTCGCGCCTCACTTTTTTTTACAGCCGCGGCCCAAAACGATCTCCTAACACATGGATGTTCTGCTTCCTGATCATGTGACGTGTGACGTACGTGGATGAAGATCGGCTTTAGAGCCGAGATGTTTGTTCTCGCGGTGCGGGGGCTCGTCCGACGCCCACACAGTAAAAACATGCAAATGACGACTTTAGTCATCAATGGCAGTGAATGAGTCAAGAACGGGACGCTCACAACGACTGGATGAAGCTTTTTTTGGGGGTTTTACATTTTAGAGTCGATTAAAACTATTTTCTTTTTTCTTATTAAAACATTTAATTTGGTGGCTGCCATCAGCATGTGAAGAACACCTCACACTGCACCTTTTATAGATTTTTGTACAAATCTTTACAGTATTTAGATGGAATCTTGTGATTATTTATGAGAGGGTGTAGTTCGAGTCTCGCTGAATTACAAGAAGAAGAAGAAGAAAAGGTCATTTTATCAGTTTATCTCTCGCCAAATAGAATATTTACTAAGCAATCATGGTGTAACCATGGACACATTGCTTGGTGTGTGTGTGTGTGTGTGTGTGTGTGTGTGTGTGTGTGTGTGTGTGTGTGCGCGTGCGTGCGTGTGTGTGTGTGTGTGTGCGTGTGTGTGTCTGCTCTGTCTTCTCCATCCCCAGTGAGTCGTGGAGGATGGCTGCTTATACTGAGTCAGGATTCTCTGGAGGTTTCTTCCTGTTAAAAGGGAGATTTCCTCTCCACTGTCGCTGCATGCTTGCTTAGTATGAGGATTGCTGTAAAGTCACTGACACTAGTCAGTGACTTGATGCAATTTGCTGGGTTCCTTATATAGGAAACACTATTTCTGATTGGCTTAATGAACTGACCTGTGTTGGAATGTTTACTGTGTGAAGATCCTTGAGACGACTCTTGTCGTGATTTGGCGCTTTATAAATAAAATTGCATTGAATTGAATTGAATTGAATTTCTGTAGCGCCTCTCAAGATAAAAATCACGAGGCGCTTCACAAAAACAAAAAATGTAAAAATATAAAAAAGTATTTAGAAAATGTTTAAAAATATATTTTAAATGAGCAAAAATAGACAATTGTGATTAAAAAAATGTTAAGAAAGAGAGAGAGTGAACAGGAAAGAGGGAAACCAGTGGATCCTGAGGAAGGTGGAATAGGTGGGGAGAGCAGAATAAAGAGAGAGAGGTGAAGAAGGTCATACAAAAGCCAGCTTGAACAAGTGAGTCTTCAGCTGCTTTTTAAAGGAGACCACTGAGTCCACTGATCTCAGGCTCAGGGGGAGAGAGGTCCAGACTCTGGGGGCCACAGCAGCAGATGATCTGTCACCTTTGACCTTTAGCCTGGTGCTTCACAACCAGTAGGCTTTGATCACTGGACCTCAGGGACCTGCTGGGGGTGTAGGGACTAAGAAGATCACCAATGTAAGATGGTGCTTGTCCATGTAAGGCCCTATAGACCAGAACCAGGATCTTGAAATGAACCCTGAAGTTTGCAACCATTTATGACTTTGATCTTGGCTCTGCTCAGACTAGCTGTTAGCGTATCAGGCCTGAAGGATGTAAACTGAACAGAGACCAGTTAGGTGGTAATTATTTATAACTTTGAGACAGAAACACACTTCAAAACGACCGAAAACTCGCTTCAACTGAAATAATTATGTGTTAAACCGGTTTAATTAGGCCATTTAGCTTCCTGTAAGGAGGCGTTGAGGGAGTTAAATACTCTGAGTTGACTGAAAGCTGGAGCGGTGATGTCACATGGAGGTTTAGGAGGTGCTCGTCTTGGCTGACAGTGGTGGAGACATCAGGGAGGACGGGAGGGACCAGAAGAACCTGATTCCTGTTTCTCAACAGCAGAATATGAACAAAGTGTCCAGAAACAGATTGTTTTGTAATTTAAAGGTGCATGCGTGTGTGAGAGTGTGTGTGTGTGTGTGTGTGTGTGTGTGTGTGTGTGTGTGTGTGTGTGTGTGTGTGTGTGTGTGTGCGTGCGTGTGTGTGCGTGTCAGTGCCGTTTGATCTGTAGGGATTGTAATACACACTCGGATCTGTGCAGAAAATCACTTTTTTACAGACAAACTGAGATTTTTTAAATAAGAAAACCATCTGAAGTCAAATTTACATTTAAATTACATTAATTTAAAAACTAATTTTCAGACATTAAATTAAATTAATTTGTATCGAGTTTACCTGCAGCAACAGGTCACGTGTTCAGCACGGATATCTAGAAACAGCTGTTTCCTGCAGCCCAACAGGTGCTTTATTGTTAAACACTGACACCAAGCGGCCAACTCCTGTAACCTTTATTTAAAATACATTTCAAGCTCATTTAGTTACGATTTTCTGAGACCCTGACCTTTTTTGTTTTGGGTGTGAAAATTCCTCTAGCTGTTCTAGATTAATTAATTTAAATTAACTAATCTAGAATCTAATTTAAATATTGAGTAGATTAAATTTAAAATCTTAAATCTATTTCTTAAAATAAATAGTTTTACATTTTTAAATTGAAACCCATAAATAATAAAAACAGGTCTAAGTTGATCAGAACGAAATATCACAGTGGAAAAGCTGATTTAATCATTTTTTTCCTTCTGAAGGATTCAGGGTGAGAGCTTCAGTCACGCTCAGAGTTCAGCCCCAGACCAGAGGAAGGAGACGAATCTGGATGAAGAAGAAACAGATCTCAGTGTCAAGAAGGTGACGTCACTTAAACCTGGAGTGAAACAACTCTTTAAACGACAATATTAACTCTACAATTGTTAAAAATAAATACAAAAGTGGATTCTGGTTTCTGTGAGCTGGTCTGCAGGGCTAAATGTTGCCTTTTACCTCCTGGCCACCAGGTGGATCTGTGTGAGGCTCTGAGGAGCAGCCTGGTGGTGCTCCAGGAGGAGAAACAGGTGCTGAGTGAGGAGCTGAGACATCACCAGGCTCTTGGCTCCAGCATCGCGGCACTGGTCCAGGATCAGCTCAAACCCAACGAGAAGGAGAAGTACAGCGTGTTCATCGGTACAACACCTGCCGTCCGCAGATGATGTTACCTGGTGAAGGTGTTCCTGAGGTCATCTGTTTGTTTCTGTCTGCAGGAGACCTGGAGAGGATCGTGAACTTGCTGCTGTCGCTCTGCAACCGCCTGTCGAGGATCGACAGGTCCCTACTCCGTCTGCAGAGAGACGAGCTGGGGACGGAGGACGCGGCTGAGGAGAAGGTGATGCGAAACTCACCTGAATCACACCTGGAGAACCAGGAAAATGCTCCAGGCCCCAGAAATAAAAGAAAATAGGAGGAAAACTCAGTCTTCCAATTATAGATGTTTGAGAATCACCGTGTGTGTGTGTGTGTGTGGGGGGGGGGGGGGGTCCCTGAGTCTGAGAGTCCTGCCGCTCAGACGTCAGCTACGCCTTCCACAAACGAAATCACCTGACGACATCCCACACGGGTTCTGTCAGGGAGCCTTTAGGTGTCAGGAGTAATCTGGATGAGGTTCTTACCGCCTACCACTAGATGGAGCCAGTGGGCCGCAGTTTAAGATTGATCTGAGCTGTCACGTGTCAACACAGCTGTGGCTGATCCTTGAGTTAGGAACTATTGAGACCTTTTCACATGTTAGAAGGAAGTCTGGCTGCGTGGAGAGGGCCAGGTCCTGGAGGTGTTGCCCAAATGAACAGCACATCGATACATTTAAGGCCTAGTCCACACGTAGCCGGGTTTTTTAAAACGAATATCCGCCCCTCCAAAAACTTGCATCCACACCACCTCGTTTTAAAACAAAACTCTGTCCACACGTACCCGGATAAATACGTTGTTGAGGACATGCCAGACCTGTAGGCGGCAGCACTTCCCCCGTTCTTAACCTCGACCTTCGTCTGTGGTCTTCCGCAAGGAGCAGTAATTCCGCTTGCAAAAACAAACAAGCAAAAAGCGCTTGGACAATTGATAAAGCGAGCGCAGCTCTGAGGGCATCCATGCTGTCGGCTAGTGTAAACACAGGTCGCACACGTGATGTCAGCAGTTTTTTTGTCGCGGAAAGTGACGTTGCGGACCTTAAAACTCCGGTTTTGTCTGTCCACACGCAGACACCCAAAACGGAGAAAACGCAGATCTTCACTTTGGCCGGAGTTTTTAAAAAGATCCGTTTTCGTGTGAAAAAAACTCCGTTTTTGTGTGGATGACAGACCAAAACGTAGAAAAATATCTACGTTTTGGCAGATCCCCGGCTACGTGTGGACAGGGCCTAAGATTCGGCTTTAATAAAAACCTCTTTTATCCTCCTCTTCAGGACTCACTTCTTCACAAACGTTCTCTTCTGCTTCGCCAAACCGAAGACGCCCGGGAGCTGAAGGAGAACTTGGACCGGCGGCAGCGAGTGGTTCAAACTATTCTGTCTGGCTACCTCACCAAACCACAACTCCAAAACTATCGACGCTTTGTCAGCACAAAACCCTCCCTCCTGATTGGCCAGCGGCACCTGGATGGCCTTATACTGCAGGGGGAGGAGCAGCTAACCCGACTGGTCAAGAGCCTTCCAGCAGAGCTGGCAGAGGCTCGCGGTTGGTCGACGGTGGGCCTGCTCTCAAACTCCGCCTCCTGGTCCTCTTTGGGTCTGTCTTCTATGATTCCAGGCCCCGCCCACTCTATGCGGCCCACCACCGTGACATCACTGTAGCGCTTTGCTCCTGAAAAACTCAGTGAAGGAGGTGTAGATGAAGGAAGATCAAAACTAAACGACTTTTCAGAACCACAAAGTGCTCCTGTTGGAGGATTTTCAGAAGAGACGTGTTATGTCAACAAGAAACTCATTTTTTCATTCAGCGTGCGACCTAAACGCCTCTGTGGTGCTTTCAGACACCTCCGGGAAGTCCTTACTTGGTAGGATCAGAAGAAAGATGCGTGAGCCCAAAGATAAAGGATGTCATCATCTGCAAACGCTCGCACTTCTTCGCCGAAGATTCCCGGCTGAAACGAACCCTCGCTCTGCTCTCGCACATGTACGGCTGTCAGCTTACGGGAGAACACTAACACCAACAGTTAAAGGACTTTGTTTTATTTCACTCCATAGATGTAAACGTGCATTAATCCTGACCGGCTTGGAGGGAACGGTAACCAGCAGCTCGTAGCTTGTGCAGTCCCACACCGGTTCACTTCCTGCCATCTAAAAGTTCACATCCTATAAACCTTTCCTCGGATCTCAAAGTGCTTCACGATACAAGTTTTATCACAAATATCAGAACATCTGAAGGGTTTGGTCCATTTTATCACATAAATTTAAATGAAGGGTTAAAAAAACAATTTACTCCCCAAAGATATTTAATGTAACCCTGAGCAGAGGCAGATCTCCACCTCTAGATTATCAGGTTTCATTCAGTTCATAAGATGATTTAAATATCAAAGTTCTGCAGTTTTCATCCAGCAAAGAATATCCGTCTCACAAAATTAACTTCTCCTTATTTAATCTGTGCCTGACTGTTCAATAAAAGCACTTTGACAGCTCCATCTGGCTCGCTTCTGTTTCTTTTAGGAAAGTCGTGTTTGAGCTTTGTGGGATTCACAAGTTCAGTCCAATCCAAGTTTATTTATAAAGCGCCAAATCACGACGAGTCGTCTCGAGGATCTTCACGTAGTCAACATCCCAACGCAGGTCAGGTCATTAAGCCAATCAGTAAAACGTTTCTATATAAGGAACCCGGCAGGTTGCAGCGAGTCACTGACTAGTGTCTGAGTCTTTACAGCAGTCCTCATACTAAGCAAGCATGCAGCGACAGTGGGGAGGAAAACTCCCTTTTAACAGGAAGAAACCTCCAGAGGATCCTGGCTCAGTATAAGCAGCCATCCTCCACGACTCACTGGGGATGGAGAAGACAGAGCACACACACACACACACACACACACACACACACACACACTCATTGCTCTTTTTAAATATATTTTTAAACATTTTCTGAATGCTTTTTTTTATATTTTTACATTTTTTGTTTTTGTGAAGCGCCTCGTGATTTGAGAGAACACACACACACACACATCTTGAGAGGCGCTATAGAAATTATATTTTCTTCTTCTTCACGTGCGCAAATATTCTATTAGGTGAGAGATAAACTTTATTGTATTTATCCTAGTGGATCTATAATTAAACAGGTAAACTAGTAGTAGCACATCCAACGTCAAGGAAACAAAAGTTATTATCAGTAGAGGGAGAATGTTTAAGTGGTTAGCAGCAGTGTGCTAGCCTACGGCCCCCTCCATGAGGCCACCACAGCTCAGCAGAACGTCGTTGTAGCTTCTTCTGGGGAGAAAAACACTTAGAGAGAAAATAAAGTTAACAGCTGAAATAGCAGGAAATAATACAGTTAAAGAGCAGACTGTAGAACAAAGTAGTAGAGTGTGGAAAGTGGTCAGTGTGTCCTCCAGCAGTCTAAGCCTATAGCAGCATAACTACAGAGATAACTCTGGATAATCTATCCTATTTAGATGGAGGCATGTTGGAGGCAGGGCAAGGAGAACCCTTTATTTTTCCTCCTAGAAACTTTTTACTGATTGGCTTAATGACCTGACCTGTATTGGAATATTTACTGTGTGAAGGTCCTCGAGACTCTTGTCGTGATTTTATAAATAAACTTGAATTGAATTGAACATCCGGGTTAGCTGCTGGAATGCAGGTGCGTGTGGGTTAAATACCTGCGGTGGGCGGGGCTTATTGTCGTCTGACAGAAACTGTTGTCCGACCTTTGAGACGCAGCCAGCAGACGGAACCATGGCCACAGATTTCACCCAGGACTCGGTTCTGTTGTTCCTCCGGAGCAGCGGAGGTTCGGTGAGAAACGCCGACCTGCTGCTCCACTTCAGGCCGTTCCTGCAGGACCCCGCGAACCGGGACCGGAACCGAGAGCTCTTTAAAAAGTTCGTTAACTCCTTAGCCATCGTCAAGCAGGTGGACGGGGTGTCTCACGTGTTCCTCAGGAAGAAGTTCAGAGGACCCGGAGCTGGACCGGACCCTCCGGGACCCACCGCGAACCACACGGAGCCCTCCGTGGTGAACCCCGCCCTGCCGAGGGAAACGGTCCTACCGGCTGCTGGGCTCAAGGTGACGACGACCAACCCGACGGAGACGACACAGAAACTCGTAAACACCAGTCTGGAACCAGGAATTAGACCGGTCCCTGTAAGGAGTCAGGTCCCAGGTCTGTCCCAGCCTCCTGGTCCTGCTCAGAGCGTCGAGGTGGGACCGCAGAGATCTGATCCTGGACCCCGACCTGGTCCCAGACTCCAGGATCCAGAACCCCACAGAGGACGAGGTCCTCCTCATCAGGAGCACCTTCAGCAGGGACCTCCTCCCAGGGTCCCCCCTCCTCAGCGGCTGCCTCCTTTTCTCCAGGCAGCTCCTCTTCATCAGGGACCTCCTCTTCATCAAGTTCCTCCTCTTCATCAAGTTCCTCCTCTTCATCAGGCATCTTCTTCCCACCAGGATCAGGAGCCTCTTCTTCATCCTCAGCAGGTTCCTGCTCGCCGTCGCTTCAGATACAGGCCGAGCTACAAATCGGCTGTTTCTCAGGATGGTGATGATGAAGAGGATGAGGAGGAGGTGGAGGAGGTCCCGGTAAAACGCAGTGCACCAGGAGGACAGTGGACCCTCTCCGATGGTTCCATTTCTCCGTCGTCACTCAACACCACGGAGTTGCCTTCATCTCCCTCCTCTTCTAGGAGACTACAGATTTGCATCCAGGAGGACCCGACCCCTCTAGGTCCCTCAGAGGTCAGCTCAGAACCTGAAGCTGATTCTGTTCCTGTGGAGGTGAGGTCCATCCCAGACCCAGACCCAGAACCAGCGTTCTCCATACAGGGATCCAACCAGAACCAGAAGCTGCCGTCCAGCAGCATCTACTCGCTTTCCTCTAATGATCAGTTCTACAGCACCGCCTGGCCACCGACCAGAACCTCAGGGAGGAACAGCATCTCCGAGGGGCTCTCGACCCAAACAGGTAACACTTCACCAGAACCTCACCTGAGTCCGTTCTTGTAGAAGAGAAACCGGACGTGAATCAGAAATCAGAGATGCACCGGTTCTGGTTTGGCGGGCCGATACTGATTAACGATTTCCACACAGCTTTACCCGCCGATCCCGATTAATCAGGAACTGACGCTGATAGAATATTTTATTATTTAATCTAATCTTTAAAAGTTCTTAATCTGTACGTAAACACTTCTACGGCAAACAGCAATGTTGCGTTTAGGAACTTGGAGAAAATCAGATATCTGAGTTCCAGATGACTCGATCAGCATTACGACCCGTCATGTCAAACACACAAGTCCAATCTCGAAAATAACGATCTTACGCACTTTCTTAGCGCTCAGTAGCGTGTTTTTGTATCACACGTAGTTAATACCTCATGAATTATCGCAATTTCTGTTCATCTGAGTTATTTGAATTTCCGTGTTTTTCAACAAGGCCGTTGTCGGGTGCAGGATCGGCTCGGGGTCCTTCGACTGCCGATGACGTCACATGACTGCACATCTACTCGGCTTTCACACACACGTTTAGGAAAGACATCAGCAGTTTAGTTAACAAATTCTTGTTTGTTAACAAAAATGTTTTCTTTATAATTGTAATTTGTTAATAAAACACCATAATATCTTTGTTTAGTAAAGAATGTGAAACTGCATAAAACCAACATCGGACTGACAAACAAACAGTTCTTATATGTGAAGCCACATCTGTTAGTATTCATGTGGAGCTCGTCTGTATATTTCCTTAGTTGTTATCTAAATACACTCTTTGACTCTAAATGTCGCTTGGTGTCTTTCAAGAAAGTTCTTATATTTTATTTTGCCCCGTTTCATCAACATCAAGAGCTTCTGAGGGTCACCGTTTATCATTTGCTTATATTTTACATTTCCTTTAGAAATTCAAACATATTTTCTCCAATAAGTGTTGATTTTTGGACTACGGGACTACAACCGCTAAGACTACGACCGCAAGTTTGTTCTGACCAATCAGAATCATAACGTGATAATCCCGTAAGCTTCATGTTCAGCCAATCAACTACTCTGACGTCATCGGCAGTCGAAGGACCCCGAGCCGATCCTGTACCGACACCGGTTAGCTGCGGCAGCCATCTTGGACTGAGTTCCTTGATAAACGGTGATCGGCCAAACTGAAACTCAGAAATGAGAAGGTTTAATTTGGTCCACGATGCTGTTTTTCTACCATTCCTGATCGGAATGTTGTAGCAGACAATAGTCCGTCCGGTTCCCATTCTGCACCAGTAACATTCCGCCCACCATTCGGCATCCGACGGTCTCGATTTCACGGCTAGAAGCACGTGAGATACTTCTCCCGTCGTGCAGTTTATGGCGTTTGTGGCCCAGTAGACTTCATACCAAAACAACCCGTCAATGTGATGAAACGTTTGTGTTACAAACAGGCTCATTTGTCTGTTTTGTTGCATGTAAAATTGACCCAAATTTGGTTCCATAGAACATGCTCTTTGTTGTTTTATTTTGAAAAGTTCCCTCGCTTTCCTGAAGCAGAGGGCCTCCTGCTGTTGCTGCTGGTCGTTGTTAGAAACAAACAAGCCACAAAAACCAGCCATGACACAAGATGGTGTCCATGATTGTGTTAAAATGTACTTCTGTGTGTGTGTGTGTGTGTGTGTGTGTGGGGGGGGGGGGGGGGGGGGGGGGTCTAGGCTGAGTACATATTACTAAGTGGTCTGGCTGGGTGTGACACCAGAAGTTTCTGGTTTGTGAGGTGGGACACAGCCTGGGTCAAACAAAAGCTTTTATCAGATGGAAGAAAACTGCTCCAACTACAAGGGGGGGGCACTCATGCTCTGGCAGCCAGGAGCCCGAGGACGGGACACCCTCCAGGGCTCCCAGGGGATTGTCGCAAGCCACTGAGGGACGCCACAGCCAGGAGCCTTTAGCCCAGCACACCACCTCCACCCCTGAAGCAGGCCAGCCAGGAGCAGGGCCACCTCGGCTCCCCAGTGCCCACACCAAGGAGCCACCAAGCCAACCCAGCAGCCAACCTCCCCCCAGCTGTGCAAGCCCACAACAGCATCCAGAAACCTTTCGGATGATGAGGACCAGATGATGAATGAAGCAGAGCCCCCTGGTCACAACCCTGGGGGAGACCAAATGGAGGAGAACCCCGTGCAATCCTGGCGTGCTCCCCAGTGCTGCAGCAGATACTCAACATCGCCACGCCCTCAACTTGCTGTAACGACATGAAGTTATTCCAAATAACAGCAAGGAGAGTGTGGTCACCATGAGAGGGAAGTGGGGGTGGTGTGTGTGTGTGTGTGTGTGTGTTTCTTTTATTACATCAGCGTTTGCTGTGATATTAACAACAATAATAAATAAAAGTGTCTACATGTGGATTTATTTAAACGTACACGAATGCCAGGATCCTGTAGGTGGAGCAGTTTTCTTACATCTGATAAAAGCTTTTGTTTGACTCGATGAATCACGAGATGCTCCTGCATTAACTCGGCCAATTAAAATCTTCACAGACCGCTTTTAACTACTAACGAAAACACAGAACATTGTGGTAAGTTAATGGAGTTAAATCAGACGTTAACTACAATAGGAGTTCCACAAGGCTCCATCCTAGGTCCATTACTGTTTTGTCTACACACCAATGACTTACCCAACAGTTGTAAAAGGGTCCAGTGCCAAATGTCTGCTGCCGTTATCCATGTAACCTCAACAGGCTGCAAAGTTACTGAAGGAACAGGTGGGAGTGTCTCGCCGGTTCCAGAATAACCCTTTGACCCTAAACCCCAGCAAAACCGTCTCCATGTGTTGTACATCAAACTAGGGCTGCACAATATATCGTAAATATATTGTTATCGCAATATCAGCATGCACAATATGCATATCGCAAAGAACAGGTAAATATCGCAATGATGCATTCTGTCAATCAAATGAAAGCATGATGTTTTTTAACACATCAGAGCTCTTCACCCATTTGGCCAACTGGGTGGGTTCTCATAGGTTAGACGCCCGCCCCCGAGGCGGACATCACTTCATTTTGACGGTTAGCAAACACCCGAGTTAGCTTCGTTAGCTCTTTCTGCTGATTCTGCTTTTCCCGGGATGCACTGATCACCTTTTCTTGTTCACTTTCTGTTTCCCGTTCCTCACAATTTAATTCTTTGTTTTTGATTATTTTTGTTCCTGAGTTAAGTTTTTATTTATCGCAAGTAATATCGTCATCGCAATATTAGTCACTGTTATCGAATATCGCAGGTTTTCCTAATATCGTGCAGCCCTAGATCAAACGCTAAATTTCTGACGTCACTGTCTTCACGACCAGAAGGAAATCCAACAAGTACCGATTTTAAATGTCTGGGTGTTGTTTTGGATTTGCACCTTACATTTGAGTCCCACAACAGAAAAGTGTCCAGAACCTTTAGGGCCAACCTCGACTGCTTCCATACTTACCTGTAGCTGTACCTACATGCTATGCCTTTGTCTCACCTACTTGCCGTGTAACTGTTGGAGCCAAGCAACCCGGTCTGCTTTAAGACCAAGCCCTAAACGTCCTGGAGCAAAAACCAGTGAAGTGGCACCGCTGTAAAACACGGGAGAAGTACAATCTCCTGAGTTTTTATGACTTTACAGACTTCTCTGTTATAAAACGGACATTCTCATGTCTACGTGGTCTTTGTCTGGTGAGCAGACAGATCGTAAAAGCCAGCAGCACAGGAGCTCCAGCCGGAGGAGCAGCCAACGGTTATAAATGCTGCTAACGATTGTCTCCGAAGGTCCAAGTTTACGATCAGCCTGTGGCCGAAAACCCCGGCGAGGGTTACGTGCTACATTCTGTCCTTCTACAATCAAACTAGGGCTGCACGATACTAGGAAAACCTGCGATGTTCCATAATCAATCAATCAATCAAATTTTATTTGTATAGCACCTTCTACAACATTATCCGAAGCCCAAGGTGCTGAACAACATCATTAAAAGAAAAACATTCCCAATACATGGGCATAAAAGCAGGATAAAAATATAAAATCATAAAATATCAAGCAAACAGCATTACAGATAAGAGATATTGGAATAAGACCAATCGATAAAAAAAAAAATGTCGGACAAAATAAAATCAAGCATCCGGTTTAAAAAGAAGAATAGTTAAAACCATAAAGTTAGGGCAATTCAAATGACCCTAGCGCTGAAACGCAATCAGATAAAAATGAGTCTTTAAACGCGTCTTAAAGACTTGAAGGGATGGTGCCTGCCTAATGCTCAGTGGCAATTCGTTCCACAGAGTTGGAGCCAAAATAGAAAAAGCACGACTACCCCTCGATCGAAATTTTGACCGGGGGACCACCAGAAGTTCCTGCTCGGCTGAGCGAAGAGACCGAGATGGAGCATACCTGTTCAAAAGAGCAGTAATGTACGAGGGGGCACTGCCCTGGATGGCCTTATAAACGAGAGTTAAGATTTTAAACTGAGCTCGATATTTTACCGGGAGCCAGTGCAGATCAGCCAGCACTGGGGTAATGTGCTCTCGACACCTAGTACCTGTCAGGAACCTAGCCACTGAGTTCTGCACAAACTGGAGCCGTGCAACCGTGCACTGGGCCAGACCAGCATACAGAGCGTTGCAGTAGTCCAGCCGAGACAGGACGAAGGCATGCAACACAGACTCCTGATGAGCTCTGGACAGCAGAGGCCTGATCCTGGATAGTCTTTTCAGGTTAAAGAAACGACCTCACCATTGTATTTACATGAGCTAACAATGATTAATATTGCGATGACGATATTACTTGCGATAAATAAAAACTTAACTCAGGAACAAAAATAATCAAAAACAAAGAAATAAAAAAATCGTAAAAAAGACAACAGCAAATGATGTGAGGAACGGGAAAAAGAAAATGAACAAGAAAAGGTGATCAGTGGATCCCGGGAAAAGCAGAATCAGCAGAAAGAGCTAACGAAGCTAACTCGGGTGTTTGCTAACCATCAAAATTAGGTGCCGTCCGCCTCGGGGGCGGGCGTCTGACCCATGAGAACCCACCCGATTGGCCAAATGAGTGAAGAGCTCTGTTTGATGTGTTAAAAAACATCATGCTTTCATTTGATTGACAGAATGCATCATTGCGATGTTTATCTGTTCTTTGCGATATGCATATTGTGCATGCTGATACTGCGATAACGATATATTTACGATATGTTGAGCAGCCGTGACTCAAACCTAACTAAACTAAGGAGGGCATGTCGCCATGGAGACTCCTGTTCTCTAAGCGTTTCTTATTGTTTTGACAGCCAGGACCAATCTCCGTCAGGAGGAGCCTCTTCTTCGCAGTGACTTTCCTCTTCATCTGAAGCTTCCTCTGAAACAGGAACCTCCTCCTAGTCAGGAGCCTTCTTCTCTCAGACAGCCTCCTCTTCATCAGGAACCTCCTCTTCCTCCTCCTCAGCAGGATCCTGCTGGTCGTTGCTCCAGATCAAGGCCAACCTACAAATCGGCGCTCTCTCAGGATGATGGTGGTGGTGATGAAGAGGAGGAGGAGGTCCCAGGAGGACAGTGGACTCAGAGTGTCCCCCTTTTTGTCACAGATAGGTCCATTTCTCCATCTTTCACCAGCATCGGGTCACCTTCATCTCCCTCCTCTTCCTCAGGAAGACCAGTTCCACAGATTTGCATCCAGCAGGACCCGACCCCTCTAGGTCCCTCAGAGGTCAGCTCAGAACCTGATTCTGTTCCTGTGGAGGTGAGGTCCATCCCAGACCCAGAACCAGCGTTCTCCATACAGGGATCCAACCAGAACCAGAAGCTGCCATCCAGCAGCATCTACTCGCTTTCCTCTAGTGATCAGTTCTACAGCACCGCCTGGCCACCGACCAGAACCTCAGGGAGGTCCTGCAGCTCTGAGGGGCTCTCGACCCGAACAGGTAACTCTTCACCAGAACCTCACCTGAAAATAGTTTTCTACCCCTATTTCCTGCATGAGCCGCCAACTGGGAACAGACTGGGAAATGCTCGGATTAGAAATACCAGTCAGAGTGATGTCACACTGTTGATTAGCATGGCTGTTGTTGGTTTAGCATCCGGGAGAGAGCAGAGCGCTTCTCGGCCAGTAGAAGCTAACCATTAGCATTAGCAACTCCACCACAAAGCAGAACTCCTCCAGGCGTGTGTTAATTGTGGAGATAAAACGTCAACAGTTAGTGGTAGAGTCGTGTTGCTGTCAGCCAATCAGGGGAGAGATGTCTAAATATCAGGAAGTCCATTTTAAAATTAAATTTCATGGATGATGTTAACTGTAATCTCTGACTTCCTGTGACAGACGTGTCTGCTGGTGTGGAGAAAATCCAGGAAGCTCTGCAGAGGTCTAAAAGATCGGAAAACGAACGTTCAGCTCTTCGCAGAACCATCGTGCCGTGGCATCGCTCCACGGGGGATCTGTTTGACGACCAGCAGAAGACGGGTCGGTTGTCACCGCTGTATCACTCTACTGACTGTCTCCATGACGACCAGCCTTATCCACCTGAAGCGCCGTGGCGCCACTCCACAGGTAGGATCTGGACCCACACTCGTTCTGAACTTAAAGTTCCGTTAGTCACCATCACACTGGTGTGAGACGTGTCCTCCGCTCTCGGCCCGCCCCCGGGGGAGCGGTGAGCTGCAGACACGGCCGCGCTCGGGAACCGTTTTCTGGTTTAACCCCCCCAGTCCAACCCCTTAATGCTGGGTGTCAAACGGGTAGGCTTTGGGTCTTTGACCCGATCGTGGATTTGAACCCACAACCTCCCAGCCTCAGTGAGTACACGTACCTCTAGTCCACTGAGCTGGTCGGCTCAAGTAACGAGCACAATCCTCTTACTGAGCAGGGGACGAGTTGTACTTCATGTCTGATTTGTGGAATTGTCCTACAGGTGATCTGCTTGATGACCCTGAGGGGGCGGAGTCGAGCGACGGCTCCGTCTCCTCCTCCCCTCAGGTCCAGCTGCGCTCGGCGGTGGTCCGGCGACTCAGCACTCGGCTCAGGGGCCGGATGTGTCGCAGCCTCAGTACCGACCTGGACCAGATCCTCCAGGACGAAGGCGTCGGCGGAGGGAACGATGCAGCCCGGCTGAACCGCCTCCACCGGATCTCCTCCTCTCTCAGCCTCTCCTTAAACCGGTCGGCATCCTCCCTCTCATCTCAACCCACTTCCAACTTCTACAGCTCGTCTGTCCAGATGGGCGGGGAGGACAGAAGACACGTGAGGAGGAGTCTCACCTCCATCTCCTCTCATCACGAAGAGGCGAGTCTGAAGCGCCTCGTTAAACCAGAAATGCTGAGCCACCGTCTGGCAGCCCAGAGGGCCCAGAACCCACTTCATACTTACTTAGCACGATTCTGGTTCTGAGGACCGATACCGAATTTCACCAGATTCCCTTTAAAAGGCTGCAAATAACTTATTAAACTTTCCATTTCTGATTAGCTTAGATGGGTTGTTGCTATAGCGATTTGGTGCTCAGCGACGGGTAGTTCAATGACCGTTAAAAACGCGGGAGTTTTAATACTGCTTGGCAAAGGTGCATTCATGGACAGGATCAGGCTCAAAGGTGTGAAATTTGAAGCCTTGATGTAACGTTCCAGAAGTACAAAGTTCATGTTTTTGTTTTTTAGCCCGGTTTTCATAATAAGTGAGATTTTTGGCTGCAATAAAAATCAGGTTTATGATGTTCAACAGAACAACTTAGCAGGTTTTGCTAAACTGGCAGATTTGAGCCCACTATCTCATTGGGCTAGAGCTCATCTCAGTAAAGTAACACTGATCACTGTTGCTGCCATCAGTCGCAGGTCCCTCTGGATGCCAGGGAGCACGCCTGGATGGTGAAGGCAGCGGCGGGGGCCTGGACGGACATCTACTCCCTCTTCAGAGAGGACAAGGACCTCCTTAACAAACCAGACTTCATCTCCGGCTTCACCGTGCTGCACTGGATCGCCAAACACGGGGACCACCGGGTCCTCAACACCCTGTGGTGAGCTGCTGCTGCTGCTGGTGACGGTGAAGGCTTTCTGTAGAACGGGACGGTCGGGTTTGGGCGGCGCTCTCAGACCGGTTTCACTTCGAGTCTAAACAGTTTCAGTCAGAGGTGCCAGAATCTGCAGGTTGCTTCATTTTCAGCCGGATTAGACATTTGATCCTCCTGCATGTGGAACACGCGTGCTCACCCCCGCCTCCCCAGAGTAATAACCTCTTTACCCACTTACTGTTTCTCTGCTTCCAGGTACGGAGTGGAAAAGGTCGGCATGAACTTCAACATAAACGCCAAGTCGAGGGCTGGTCAGACGCCCCTCCACGTCGCCGCCATCCACGGACACAAAAACGTCATCCGGTTACTCGTTTCCTCGTTCAAAGCTAACGTGACGCTCAGGGACACGGCAGGCAAGAAGCCCTGGCAGTACCTGAGCAACAGTTCGCCTGACATGCTGGAGCTGCTGAAAGCGCCGCGGCGGTATGGCGGCACCACAGAAGACTCGAGCTGGTCAGCGCCGCCGCCCCCGCCGCCGCAGCAGCGTCGCCGTCTCCAGCATCACTTCTCCTCAGCCTCCTCGGGTCTGAAGCAGAGCACAAAGGTCAAAAGGTCTACCTCCATCGCAGCGTTCCTCAAAAACAAGGCGCTGACGCATTTTTAGGAGCATCATTCCGATTCAGGATTCATTCGGATTCATCCGTTCATCAAACTCTGGGGCCCGTTTTACAGGAATCTGCCTTTTCTATTGGGCTGGACTCGGGTCTCCTCTTTGATGCATCTAATCATCTCAAAAATCACTTCCTGTTTACAAAGAGTCCTTTATTAAGTGTTCATTATCCTGATGACTTATGTCGTCATCCAACCAGGATGGAAAGTCAGGAAAACACCAGTCACTGGTCACTTCTTAACATTTGTTCATGTTTGGTAGTTTATGGGTTAATTTATGTGAATTACTGCTTATTATTGACTTAAAGCTTTAACGTTCCGACGTTCTTTTAGATTTCACCAAAATAACTAATTTTCATTAAAACATAAATTTTTTCTGATGAGTTTCTCAAACGTTTTTTCTACTTATTAACTACGAACTGATCTAATAGACCTAATGAAAAGCTAATGATTGTAAATGATTTATCAAATTAAAGATAATAACCACAAAATAACATAACCGCTTAAATAATATTAAATACTTTGTTATATATAACTAAGTTTTAATATTTAAATATTCTTTATTGCAGTAGACCCTCACATTAAAAGTCTACCTAATAGAATAAACGTCTTTATTATTTTATTTCTAACGTAGTGACTCGGTCAGCCAGACCCGTGTCTAAAAGTTTTGTTCTATAAAAAAATACTTTTTAAAGAAGGAACTCGATATCTGAATTAGCAGCTAATTTTACTGATTAACTGAATTCGAATCCAGTTCTTTATTAACTCACTGAGATTTTTTTAATGCAATAAATTAATATTTCAGAGCGTTTTTTGGGTAAAACTTATAAATCTTATTTTAGTCATGAAACAGCTTCCTGAGCAGCCTCGGTGCAGGAAAACGGCGTTTGCAGGACTAGTCTGAATAAAGCAGCTTCCAGGGTCCAAATCCGGCCGGGTTCCGTTTCTGTTTCTGCTGAACTCATCTTGTTATGTCAGATTAAATAAGAAATAAATGCAGGAGATTTAAAACCCCAGCAACCTACTGGGGTTTTATTCAGACTAGCCGTTAGCTCATCAGTCCTGTGAACTCAAATTCTCTGGACTGAGGCTGTTCAGGTTGTTGCTAAGAGACGACTTGTTTCAGAAAAGGTCAAACGTCTAAACGTCTGATTAGCATCTGACGGAGGAACAGGAAGCTGAACGCCAGTAGAGCGTACACGGCAGGTTTACTGTGATTGGTGCTGCAACACACCTGTATAGTATTTTAATACCAAAAGTTTAGCTTATCGTACTGTTTCAAGTTTTGTTTTTTCTGACTTTAATAAACTGTTTGAGTGGATCTGTTTGGAGAATAAAGTTTTTTTTTAAATAAAACTCCTGAGGAAACGGGAGGTAGGGCTGGGCGATCTGGCCTCAACTCTATATTGTGATATAATCTGAAGCACGTGCGGTAACGATATATACTGCGATATATTTTTTCCTCTGTTTATAAATGTCAACATGACGTGCTTTTAAACATCCTCATGTGGCAAATGCCACTTGAGGCATATGGGCCTCCTCCTCCGCCCACTCCATGCTTGCAGTCACGGCCATTCTGTTGTCCCAATGTCAGCAGGGTGCGCATCTTAGTGACGTCATGTGTTATCGCGGTATTGCGATATAGCCAAAAACTCTTATCATTACCCAATTTTATATCGTTTCTACCTTATATCGTTTATATTGCCCACCCCTAACGGGAGGCAATAGAGGTGAGACGCACTGATTGGCTCATTAAAGCTGCACCTGTTGGGGGCGGAGTCTATCTGGCAGCAGGTGAACATTCAGTGAGGATGCAGGAGTTCTGGCTGCGTGAGACCCGACCGAGGACTGGAGCAGAGGTCTCAGACAGATGGTGTGTTTGTTGCTTTCTGGTCACGCTGATGAAAACTTGACCTTTGATCCGTTACACGTTTTATATAAAGTGGGGACGGCAGTAGCTCTGGAGGTAGTCATCCGGTCATCAGGAGGTTGCAGGTTCGATCCTGGTTCCGACCAGAGAATGCTGCTGTATCCTTGGGCAAGACACTTAACCCGCCTTGCCTGCTGGTGGTGGGACCGGTGGTGCCTGTGATCAGCAGGCCTCTCCTCCATCAGCGCGCCTCAGGGCAGCTGTGGCCACATCGTAGCTGACTGTGTTGTGAAGAGCCTTGGGGGGTTGTAGAACCCGAGAGGGCACTATACAAATGCAGACCACCTATAATACACACACAACCAAACCCCTGCATGGTTTCAGTTGTGTCGTCTAGGCTTGGGCGGTATTCACATTTTAATACCATCTGGAACCCCCCAAGGTGCTTTACAACACAATTAGTCATTCACCCATTCACACACTGGTGGGGATGAGCTACCGTGTAGCCACCGCTGCCCTGGGGCTCACTGACGGAGGCGAGGCTGCCGAGCTCTGGCGCCAGCGGTCCCTCCGACCACCACCAGCAGGCAAGGTGGGTAAAGTGTCTTGCTCAAGGACACAACAGCGACAGACTAAGCGGGGCTCGAACCTGCAACCTTCCGATTACGGGCGAGCTCTTAACTCCTGTGCCACCGTCGCCCACGAAACCGAATAAAACAACAGCACACAGAACAAGACCTTTTTAAAAACGCAGTTTACAAAAAGATTTTTGGCCTAAAACACCAGCAGGTTTGCTTTTTCCGGCTTCGACCTCCGACTGCTGCAAACCGCTCCGATGGGCTTGTGGCACCGACATGCGGGTTCTCTGGTGCTAGTCGTGACATCTGGGGAAGGCTGGCAGCGTGTTGTCGTTTAATACCAGGCTCCAGACCTACGGCTCGCTCCTCTGCGTCTTTGGTCATCTTTTGTTCGCACAAGTGACCTCATCAGTGTTTACCGGCTCTCTCCAAGTTCGCTTCAAACCAGCAGAATAACCCCAACGCCGGTCAGCTGATGCGTGAGCCATCCTCCGCGCTGTCACACGGTGACATCACGTTCATAAACCTTATGGTAAGTCTCCAAAAGTTGGACAAAACATTTAAAAGTATTTGAAGCAAAACTGAAAATTCAACGCTTCTGTTTTACACATTAAATAATTTTATTTATGTTTTATTGGAACTGGCATGTTGCCATTTTGAAATCCCGGCTGTTTACGGCAGAACCGCCCAAGCCTAGTCCAGTCCTGTAAACACTATTTCTCTGAACAGAGGCTGTTCAGGAAGCTGCACTTTTACACAAAAACACAGAATTACATTAACGGTTAAATCTAATTTAGTCTCTAAAGTCTTTAGATGAAAAAAAACGTTTTTAAAAGATGTTTTCTTCATTGAGGTTCCTGAGATGATAAATAATTTAACTGTAAATTTGAATTCTAAAGCTGACCACTCCCACTTACCTGGTTAAACTTATCCTGCTGCTGAAGCCATGTTCATGTGGAGGTCCTGCTGAGGTCACATGACCACGAGCATGTTTAACACGTCCAGGCTGGTTGACAAACACGGTTAACCCAGATGTGTTCCTTCATGTTGGAGTGGCTGAGCCAGTTTTCTACCTGCAAACCAAACATTTACTCACCTCCACGGTTTCCACCGGAGCGCTTTGATGAACGTCTGAGGAGGCTTTGCTGCAGCAAACTCAGCTCCCTCACTCTGAAATAGACCCGTGTGAACTCCCTCTGATCAGATAAAGTCGGTTTCATGAGACCGTGCATTTAGATACATGAACTCCATTTTTTACAAGACAAAAACTGAGTTTTAACAAAAGGTTTGGGTCCTGGAAACGCTTCGAGTTGAAAAACCAGAACCACACGTGGGAGGAATTCCTGATTAAAATGGTTCCCTTGATTATGTCTCTGCAGCAAAATCTGGTGAGCTCTGGAAAAGAACGTGTGTGTGTGTGTGTGTGTGTATGTTCGGTAGGGATAACTATTGTCTGCAGCTCTGTGAATTACCTCAGTTTGGAGAAATGGATGCAGTCTGAGTGAGACTTTGATTACTTTAATGTGAGAACAGTTGAAGTGCTTCATGCAGATACTGTTATATAAATCTGATGCGCTTGTTTCAGGAACTAGAAATGAGCCGCATCAGAGCTGGGCGTCAGACGACAGGGTCTGCATGGCGTCTTATTTCCTGATACTTGGACATCTCTCCTCTGATTGGCTAACAGCAACACGACCATTTGCGCTGCAACGTTGATGTTTTATCTCCACAAATAACAAGCCTGGAGGAGTTCTGCTGTGTGGCGGAGTTGCTAATGCTAACGGTTAGCTTCTATTAGCTGAGACGTTCTCCGCTGTTTCCTGGAGGCTAAACCAACTGACTTCCCCGTTGTGAGTCAGGATGGGTGAGTCCATGAATGTTAGTGACAGGGTGACGTAGATCTGTCAGGATTTTCTATCCTAGAGTTTCACCGTCTGTTTTCTGTCAGAAGCTAATGCAGTAGATAGGTGTAGGAGACTATTTTCATGTTCAGCCTGCATGTTGAAGTCAAGAGTGACTGATTCATCAGAAATTATTGTTTGAATGCTGGCATTGTCCTGAGAAAACCGTAAGTTGGATTGAAATGAGACACACGCTGGCTTGCAGCTAACGGAGATACCTTCGTTTTGAGCTATAAATCATGAATGTACTCCAAGCATTGTGGTCGTACGGTTTATTTGTTAGAAAATATTTAAATTAAAAAAATGTTTCTCACCACTCTAATCTGAAGATTCCACTCTCACACTTTTAAATTTCACATTTTCTGGAAACGACTCTTTCCAACACCCAGACCGTTTGGAGTACCCAAACCGAATTTTTGTCAGCTTTTCAGAATGAGTTTCATTTTATCTGTAAGTGTTACGGTTCTTTCTCTACAAGCCTCAGAAGGAGGAGACCCTGATTCTGTCTCATTGAAACCCATGTTTTTTAAATTTATTTAGGTTGCCACAGAAATGGGGTCCATACCCGCACTCCCTGACTTGTCCACCCCCCAAGGTCCTATGTGCATGTTTGTGTGATGATGTGAGGGAGCAGGAGGAGAGAAATGTGCGGGGATGGGGAGGAATGGCTGGTTGGGCTTAGCCCTCCAGGGAGCCAGCTCCCCTACTGGCCCCAGTAGGCACCTCTGTTGTCAAATTGCCACCCAGGGCATGGAGACCCCAGCCCATCCTGCCAGGGCCCAAAGCAGCAGCATTACAGAGCCTCACGGAGTCCGAGGGCAGCAACCCAGCCCCACCCCAGCAGAATATCTACTCCCATCCCTGCATTTGCACAACTTCCAGAATATATAAGACATGGGACATCCAGGTAAGGTTGGGTCCTCCCCCTCCCCTGTGATGGGACAGCAGAGGAGCCAAGGTCTACCTGAGGCCCCTGAACCCGGGTCAGGCACTGCTGCGTGTTCCTGCCTTCTCCCCGGCAGCATACTTGTCAGGACCCGACCCTCAAGGCCCCGCCCAGATCCCCACACGGGGCCGGCCACCCCCACACCCCGAGTCCCCAGGCCCCCACCTAGACCCGCCCGGGGCAATGCAGCTGCTGGGCAGTGACCCATGGCCACCGCCATGACCTCCAAGGGGCCCCACTCACAACCGCCAGTAGTCCACCCCCCGAGGCAACCCAAGCACCTCCAGAGGGGGGCAACGGCCCCCCCAGTCCCAGACACCCCCCCCCCCCGTGAACCCACCTCCAGGGAACATCCGGATACTCCAAACTCAGACCCTCCACCCCCCCACCCACATCATCCCGCAGGACAACATCAACGGTCCCCCACCCTCGCTATGTGATGGAACCGATCAAAGGAGCCCAGAGAGATTGATCTGAAGTGGAGGCAGAGGCTATATCAAGTGTAATATGATCTAACAAAAGATTTCTATACTGGTTAATGCAGAGTTTTTCTCTATTTTTCCAATTCAAGAGAATAGTTTTCTTAGCGATGCATATGGCAGTCAGAACCACGTGAACCACAGATGTTTCAATCGGGACATCGTCCAGGTTTCCCAGTAAACAAAGAGAGGGGGAAGTTGGGATGACATTTCAGAGACTTTGACAGATCCTCACATACTCTACCCCAAAATTCCTGGACAGGTGGGCAGGACCACAGTGCATGAATGTAATTGTCAGGAATGTTGTTTGTGCAGTGTGTACAGGTGTCAGACGACACAAACCCCATCTTGAACATCCGATGACCTGTATAGTGTACTCTGTGTAGAATTTTGTACTGAATTAATTGTAAATTGGGGTGTCTGATCATTTTAAAAGTTTTTAAACAAGTTTGGGACCAGAAGTCCTGGTCAAAGCTAACTGATAGATCCACCTCCCATTTTTCAATAGGGATTACTATTCTATCGTCTATTTTGGACAGTGTCTTATATACTTTAGACAGTAGTTTGGGGGGTTTGCGATTATAATAGTCTAATACCCTTGGTGGTGTTTGTAATTCTATTTTATTGAGCTTAAATTTTTGTTTGACTACAGATTTAATTTGGTGATATTCTAAAAAGCTATTCTTATCCATTCCAAATTGGGAGACTATTTGATTAAATGGGATGAAGTTCAATCCTTCATATATGTGTTCCAGGTATAGGATTCCTTTATTTTTCCAGTCCGGAAGGTTCATCATTTGTTGTTTTGCAAAATGTCTGGATTATTCCAGATAGGTGTGCGTCTGCATGGTACTAGTGAAGACTCTGTCATTTTAAGATACTCCCACCATGCTGTCAGAGAGGTGCTGATACTAATACTTTTGAAGCCTTCATGTTTTCTTATGCTTGAGCTAATAAATGGTAAGTCTGAAAGCTCTATCGTATTGCAAAGTGTCTGTTCTATGTCTAACCAGGACTCGTCTAATGGGTTATCTTGCAACCATCTTGGTATATATTGCAGCCTGTTGGCTAAGAAATAATAATAAAAGTTGGGTAAATCCAGTCCTCCTCTGTCTTTGGTCTTCTGAAGTGTTTTTAAGCTAATTCGTGGAGGTTTATCCTGCCAAAGGAATTTGGTAATTGAGGAGTCCAGAGATTTAAACCAGTCAGCTGGTGGTTTGTTTGGGATCATTGAAAATAAGTAATTTATTCTGGGTAAGACCATCATTTTAATTGTAGCAACTCTCCCCATGAGTGATATTGGTAAGGATTTCCATCTTGCAAGATCGTCTTCCACTTTCCTTAAAAGTGGGATGTAATTCAGTTTGGTTAGATCTGCTAACTTGGGAGAGATATTAATTCCCAGGTATGTGATATTCCCTGACTCCAATTGTGTATTAAGCAAATTGACAAATGAGAAATTAATTGGTAGAACTGTGGATTTTAACCAGTTTATAGAGTAATCTGAAACTCTGGAAAAAGAGTTCATCAGTTCTATTGCTTGGGAGAGAGAGGATTGAGAATTCTGGAGAAAGAGTAAAACATCATCTGCATAAAGACTGATCTTATGTTCTACAGGTGCTGGCCAGTAAATTAGAATATCATCAAAAGGTTGAAAATATTTCAGTAATTCCATTCAAAACGTGAAACTTGTACATTATATTCATGCAATGCACACAGACCAATGTATTTCCAATGTTTATTACGTTTAATTTTGATATTTATAGGTGACAACCAATGAAAACATCAAATCTGGTATCTCAGAAAATTAGAATATTCTAAAGGCCAATGAAAAAATGTTTGTTTCTCTAATGTTGGCCAACTGAAAAGAATGAACATGAAAAGAATGTGCATGTATAGCACTCAATACTTAGTCGGGGCTCCTTTTGCCTCAATAACTGCAGTAATGCGGCGTGGCATGGACTCGATCAGTCTGTGGCACTGCTCAGGTGTTATGAGAGCCCAGGTTGCTCTGATAGTCGTCTTCAGCTCCTCTGCATTGTTGGGTCTAGCGTATTGCATCCTCCGCTTCACAATACCCCATAGATTTTCTATGGGGTTAAGGTCAGGCGAGTTTGCTGGCCAATCAAGGACAGGGATACCATGGTCCTTGAACCAGGTGCTGGTGGTTTTGGCACTGTGTGCAGGTGCCAAGTCCTGTTGAAAGGTGAAGTCTGCATCCCCATAAAGTTGGTCAGCAGCAGGAAGCATGAAGTGCTCTAAAACTTCCTGGTAGACGGCTGCATTGACCCTGGACCTCAGGAAACAGAGTGGGCCAACACCGGCAGATGACATGGCACCCCACACCATCACTGACGGTGGAAACTTTACACTGGACCTCATGCAACGTGGATTCTGTGCTTCTCCGCTCTTCCTCCAGACTCTGGGTCCTTGATTTCCAAAGGAAATGCAGAACTTGCTTTCATCAGAAAACATAACTTTGGACCACTCAGCATCAGTCCAGTCCTTTTTGTCCTTGGCCCAGGCGAGACGCTTCTTGCGCTGTTTCATGTTCAAGAGTGGCTTGACACACGGAATGCGACACCTGAATCCCATGTCTTTCATGAGTCTCCTCGTGGTGGTTCTTGAAGCGCTGACTCCAGCTGCAGTCCACTCTTTGTGGATCTCCCCCACATTTTTGAATGGGTTTGTCGTCACAATTCTCTGCAGGGTGCGGTTATCCCTAGAGCTTGTACACTTTTTTCTACCACATTTTTTCCGTCCCTTCGCCTGTCTGTTAATGTGCTTGGACACAGAGCTCTGCGAACAGCCAGCTTCTTTAGCAATCACCTTTTGTGTCTTGCCCTCCTTGTGCAAGGTGTCAATGATTGTCTTTTGGACAGCTGTTAAGTCAGAAGTCTTCCCCATGATTGTGGTGCCTTCAAAACAAGACTGAGGGACCTTTTAAAGGCCTTTGCAGGTGTTTTGAGTAAATCAGCTGATTAGAGTGGCAGCAGGTGTCTTCTATATTCAGCCTTTTCAGAATATTCTAATTTTTTGAGATACCAAATTTGGAGTTTTCATTAGTTGTCACTTATGAATATCAAATTTAAATGTAATGAACATTGGAAATACATTGGTCTGTGTGCATTGCATGAATATAATGTACAAGTTTCACGTTTTGAATGGAATTACTGAAATATTTTCAACCTTTTGATGATATTCTAATTTACTGGCCAGCACCTGTATTTTCTTACACTTTATCCCTTTAATACCTGTTGTTTGCCTAATTGCTGCCACTAGTGGTTCGATAAAGATAGCAAACAGTGAGGGGGAGAGTGGGCATCCCTGCCTGGTCCCCCTCTGAAGACAGAAGCTAGCTGACATTTGGTCGTTCGTCCTGACACGTGCAGTTGGTGAACTGTATAATGTTTGTAGCCAGTTTATGAAGAAGTTCCCAAAAACCAAATTTATGTAAAGTTGCAAATAAGAACTTCCAGTTAACTCTATCAAAAGCTTTTTCTGCATCTAGAGATAATATACTAGTTTCTATGTTTCTACTGTAAGAGAAATCTATCAAATTAAGTAATCTACGTGAGTTTGTGGATGATTGTCTACCCTTAATGAAACCAGTTTGGTCAGGGTGTATTATGAAGGGGGTTACCTTCTCTAACCTTTTGGCCAGGGCTTTACAAATTATTTTGAGATCAACATTAATAAGAGAAATTGGGCGATAGCTGGTAGGAAATGCCGGGTCTTTGCCTGGTTTTAACAAGAGACTAATATTGGCTGAATTCATGTTTGGCTGTAATCTGCCGCTCGCTTCGATTTCCCTCACCATTCTGAAAAATGTTGGAGCCAGAATGATCCAGAATTCTTTGTAGAACTCTGCTGGAAACCCGTCTGGACCTGGAGCTTTCCTATTAGTCATGGATTTAAGGGCTTCCTGGAGCTCCGCTGATGTTAGTGGCGAGTCCAGGACTGTAACTTGGCTGTCTGATAATTTAGGAAGTGTTATCCTGCCAAGGAACTCACTGATCTCGTTATCTGATGGGTTTATCTGTGGTGAGTACAACGTTTGGTAAAAGTCTCTGAAGGTGTTGTTTATTCTTTCAGGGTCATAAACTATATTCCCGGTTGAGTCTTTAACAGCAGATATGGTAGTTTTCTCTTTATTTATTTTTAACTGGCTAGCTAAAAATTTACCTGTTTTATTACTATGTTCAAAGTTTTCTATTCGTAGTCTTTGTGCTAAAAATTGTGTCTTTTTGTCAATAATTCCATGAAGTTCTAATTTAGCTTTACGTAATTTGCTCATTGACTCTTCTTCTGTGGATGCCTCTAAAGACTTGATGATCTCCTCTAACTCCTGAATACGTTTGTTTTCTGTTTTTTTCTTATGTGATGAGAAACCCGCGTTAAAGGAACAGATTTTCTCCTCCGATCGGCTTCAGACAGCTAAAATGTTCTCGTCATCGCTTCTACAAAAATTCATGGTAGGCACATAAAAATTCAGGTGTGAATGTTGTGGCAGGAAGTTGGATAAAAGAACACAAGCTTTAAGTAAAAGCATGGAGGTCAAACTAATTAACAGTTTATTAGTGTTTAGCTGTACATTTCTAATATCTATTAATGCTATGGAAAACATACGGAGACTTTGGGTTGTGGGAACTTATCACGCATGTTTAGTTCTTAACCCTTTGGTGCATAATGGTCACTACAGTGGACAGGTACTCAAAATTGTTATTTATTTATTTTTGCTATGAAGCACAGCTGTTGAAGACTTTATTGCATTTGAGCCCCTCCATTTGGACTTCAGTAAGTCAAGTCGACATATTTCATGTTCAGAATGCACGCTGTCCACCGAGGTGGACATGTAATAAATTATTTGTAAATTACCAAAATGCTACAAAAAATATTTGTTGAAATTTGTTTCATTCACACCTAAAGATGAATAAAAAAATTGTTTAAAAAAATCATGGTTGAAGATTTCATAATTTGTGCATACGAGGGTTAGAGAAGTGTTTCAGAAACAAACACCATTGGAAACATATGTGACCTTTAGTCTGGATATTCTCCACAGATGTGTCTTAATGATGAAAACAGACTCTGGTTGTAGTCTTTATTGTGGTGGAGGATGTGGAGCCGTCGCCAGCAGCTCCTTCAGCAGGAACAGAACTTTTTACACGGAGGAAAAACATTTTAAACATCAGGGAAGATCGTCAGCATCCTAAACTCAGACACAAACATGGAAAATAAACTCACTACAGCTTTTGTTTGCTTTCAGAATCAAGCCTCTGCAGCATTTTAATGTAAAAACGTGGTTAGCATCATTAGCTGTTAGCTGCGATTTCAGCGAAGTAACTAAAAGCTGCTTGTGGATTCTTTCAGGTAGAAACTAAATCAGAACTTGAGCTGAAGTCTGGCAGCAGGAGCAGCAGGAGGAGCGGCGTCAGGAACCCAGACGGGTCCTAATCAGAACACAAATGGCACTAAAGTTTGTTCCCGACTGAACAGATTCAAACACTCAGCTACTGACTTGTTGGAGACGAATCAGAAACAACAGATAAATAAACAGGTCAGTGAAGGCAACATCGACGTCCATTTTAAGGGAAACTTTTTCTGTTTGTTTTTAATTGTTTTATTTGTGTTTAACATAATTAATAGTAGCAGAAAGAGGTTTTTTTTTTTTTTACATTTTGGGATGTTAAAATTTTTTTGTGCTCTGTTTTCCTGCTGAGGGGGATGGTGGGAAGCCAGCTGAACAGCTCTGGGTCATTCAGAACCAGAACCAGCCCAACAGAACCGGACAGCAACAGCGGTTACGGGCGGGAAACGTCAAGTCAAGCTGCCGTTTTACTGAGTTTATGGGATAAATAGTTTCTGTGACTTTGCTGCAGAAGCTGTTCTGTGGTTGGAGGTTCTGTGGAGGTGGTTCTGGTTCTACGAGAATCTGACCGGCTGCAGAGGAGGACAAGAGGAGGAGCCGTCTGCTCCTCCTTCACCTCCCCCTCCTGATACCCCCACCTCTTGGATTGCAGCGGTGGTGTCCTCGTTGTAGAGACGCTTGATGCCATCGTAGAAGTCGTCCACCTCCATCTGCTCCACCTGGAAATGGAGAAGGGGTCTCATTTATCAAACAGGGCGTAGAATCTTGACTAAAACCGTACTTAAGCTCAGCTAAACAAATGTACTTACGCCAAGCAGGTTTGTGATCTATCAAACACGGAGTACGCACAGCTGCACGCAGTCTAAACTATCTAGAACGTTTCTCAGCTGCATTTTAGTCGCATCCCGCCCTCGCCACGCCCACGTACTGCCACATATAGTCAATGCAAAGTGCCTTGTGGGTCTCATGCATACACATAAGCCGGCTGTTGCAGCGCTCTGCCAATGACATGGCGACCGTAGATCAAGGCAGATCAAGGAAGCGCTATTTCACACAAGCAGAAGTTGAGGTGAGGTGGAGAAATGAAAGGAAGTGCTTTTGCAAAACAAATAAGAGAAAATCCACGGAGTGGCACAGCGTTGCTGAAGCCGTCAATGTTGTGAGTTCTTCAGAGAGATCTGTGGCGGATATAAAAAGAGTGGTCTAATCGGGGTTCGATCCCCAGACTCCCGGGGGAAAGTCACGCGCACTAACCAGTCAGCCAAATGGAGATCTCCCCTGTACAGGTAGCCAGGTCGCGTGATCAATCGGGTAACAGTGACAGGACACACACCGTCACAGACGCATGATGTTCTGTCTCAATCTGTCCCCCTGCTGATATTCTGCATTCCGTATTCTGCACTTCAGGCTGTGTGTGTGTGTGTGTGTGTGTGTGTGTGTGTGTGTGTGTGTGTGTGTGTGTGTGTGTGTGTGTGTGTGTGTGTGTGTGTGTGTGGTTTTTATGCAGCATCTGTTTACGAACACATTATCGTGGAATTGTATTTTGAAATGCTTTATTTTGTTAAATTTACCGGCCTGCGTCTTAAGTCCAGGTTTGACTTCCTGCCAGAATTGACGCGGTTCACCCGCGGCTCGCGAATAAAATAGAGCAGACGCCAAAACGATCGCTGCACGGCGCGGGCTGGAGCGCCGGCGCACGGCGGCCCATGTGGCCTATAGAGTAGGATGACAAGGGCGCAGAATGAAGGTGGTCCCCGTTTGGCGGCGCTCCGGCAGCCGGCGTGTCCCCGGCGTAAGCCAGGTCCTTAGTCAGCTTAAAGTTTTCTTTCATAAATCCCAAAGTTTGCGTGGAAAGTTGCTTACGCAGTTTTCGACCCCGTTTTGTGCGTAAGCAAGCTTGATAAATGAGGCCCCAGGTGTTTGGTGTGTGTGTGTGGCGTGCGTGTGTGTGTGTGTGTGTGTGTGTGTGTGTGTGTGTGTGTGTGTGTGTGTGTTTCTCCCTCCCAGGGGGAGGAGCAGCGTTACCTTTCTCTTGGTGGAAGCTTTGCAGCGCAGCGTGATCCTCTGCAGCTGGTTGAGGCGTTTGGGTGAGAGCAGAGCTGGGATTTTGCTCTCAGAGGAGGAGATGAAGCTCCTCTCCTCCCCAGCAGCAGCTGCTTGAGGCTGGACGGCGGTGGAGCTGAGGGTGTGGTCCCTGGAAGTCTCAGCGAGGGAGGTGACAGTTCCTGGAAACAAGGATGATGGAGACTTGAAAAGAAATGTTAAATGAGCTCCGGCCCCTCTAGGCTAGTCGGGGTGCAGCCAGGATCCACGTCCTAAAACTACCCACTTCCTAACCTTCAGAGCAGTCTGCAGGTAAATACCAGCTAGACGAAGGCGGCGAGTTCTCGGATCAACACCCTGATCTGAGGAGACTTGTGGAGTCCACCTCCACCAGGTAAGTAAACGCAGAAACATTCATCATAATAAGTCAAATCTGAGACCGGCTGCCCTGTAGGTCCAAACGCCTCTTCCCGATGATTCCAGTCTGGTAGGGATCGGATTTGCACTGCTGGAGAATCACTTCCTGCTAATGAGGACTTCTACAGGAAGTGCTGTCTCAGGACAACAATGGACATTAGGAAAGACACCCCCCCCCCCCCCCCGAGCAAACGGACACAAACAGCAGCGCTAGGGCTGTCCTAACACCTTCCTGCTTACGTCAGAGCCATCCTCAGGGGTTTGGACACAACATTACTGGAACCTGCACCAGACTCATGAGGTGACACTTACCCAGCGGGGAGGTCGGATTCGGCAGGGGTCGGTAGATGTAGACGGTGTTAGGAGGCAGGGAAGCTCTCGGTGTGGACAGACTACGTGCGACTAGCTCTCTGCTACGGATCAACTCAGAGCTGTCGATCTGAACAAGGGAACAACCACAAGGAAGTGTTTTAGAAGCTGGAGAAGGGATGGATGCAAGTCCTGGTTGCCTTGGTAACACCAGGAGCTTTCAGAGAAACGTTAGGATCAAATTAAGACTTATCACAATGAAGCTATTAAACATTTCTGTGTTCTTCCCAGGACAGCCAGGCTGCAGCGACGGTACGTTACGTACGCAGAAGAACAGGAAATCACTCGTTCACATGCGTCTGGTCTTCATATCTCATTAAATCTGTGTTTAATACATTTATCAGCTTTTTTCGCTCCACTTGTTTGGGTTTGGTTTGTACCCGAGGCCCTGGGGTTCACGAAGTCCAGCAGCTTTATGTTTTACAAGGATCACTGTAGAAAATCAGAACCAGTAAAAGACGTCATTACAATAACAACTTAAACCGGTTTAAACCAGCTCAGTGGCCCAGTGGTAGTGTCCGCCCCGGGATTAGGAGATGGGGGTTTAAATCCCGGTCGGGTCACACCAAAGGCTTTAAAAATGGGAGCCCAATGCCTTCCTGCTCGACTCTCAGCTTTAAGGGGTTGCATTCGGGGGTCAAACCACCAAGTAGTTCCCGAGCGCAGCCACAGCTGCAGCTCAGTGCTGCCCCCATGGGGATGGGTCAAAGGCAACTTCACCTGTGTGATGATGATGACTTTAAATAAAACCTGTTTAACTCTCCGGTTAAACTTCTCTAAACACTCATCAGAAAAAGGAGAAGTTAGACGTCTCTCTGCTATAAAACCATTTCAGCTCCCCCGAGTCTCCAAATCTGGAGTTTTTCCACCTATGGCACCATCTAGAGGTGGAAAATTGTATTGCACCTTAAGCCTCTCTCCCCATTTCTGTTCTGGATAAAAGCAGCACCCCTCGGTGAACACACACCTCTAGGTGGCCAGCAAGCGCTCAACAGGGTTTACAGATTCTCCACATTTTACGTGGATAATATCTGTGGATCTTAGGATGGCTGGATCAGAGATGAGGAGAGGGAAAGATGTGGTGTGAGATCAACGGGTGGATCGGTGCTGCGTCTGCAGTGATGCGGGTGTTGTGCCGACCCGTCGTGGTGAAGAGAGCGCTGATCCGCAAGGCAGAGCTCTCGATTTACCGGTTGATCTACCTTCCTACCCTCACCTACGGTCACGAGCTATGGGAAGTGACCGAAAGAACGAGATCACGGATACACGCGGCCGACTTTGATCCGCAGGGTGTCTGGTCCACTGCTCCTCCACATCGAGAGGAGCCAGTTGAGGATAAACTAGTTAGGATGCCTCCCTGGTGAGGTTTTCCGGGCACATCCAACCGGGAGGAGGCCTAAGATGTCCTGAAACTCTCACACACACCCAGACGTAAGCAGATGTCTGATGCTATTGGCTAAAGCTGAGCGGTGCTCAGTGGGATGGGCTTAGCAATAAAACAAACTGATATATTGCCTACATTATAACTCAGTACAGGGTCGGTCCTTCACTTCTACGGATTTATAAAAAGTCCGACATAATTCCTGAAAGGGAGAAAACTCCAGATTGCTGCTTTAACCCCAACAGTAGGGTTGTCACGGTAACCGGTGTAGCGGTAAACCCCAGTAAAAAAGTTGACAATAATAATAACCGTCTTGTTTTAAAACATATATTATCTTGGTGGGTTACCGTGGCTGTGGTGTAGGCGCGGTGACCCTTACCAGCCACCGTATCATCTGCTGAAGTTGCCGGCGGCACATGCGCACTTTGTTGTTTACAACCAAAACTTTCTTGAAGCTAAAGCTGAAATAATGGTCAAAGGAGGAGACGGCAGCGCTCAGGACATTTATTATCCCTCAAAGAAGACAAAGTAGGAAGTACGGGCATCTTTTGGATATATGAAGAATGCCGAGGGACAGCTGATAGAAGACGGCTATCCTGTTTGCAGCACGTGCAGAAAAAGTGTCTGTGAAAGGCAGCAACGCTTCAAATCTCATGACACATCTGCGTGACCATCACCCACAACTCTACAGTCAACGCAAGGCAAGCTAACGTTAGCGTTTTAGCTAAAATGCGTGATCCGAGGATTTGGGTTGAAGGAGAATGCAACGAGTCGCTATATAAAGCAGCCGCAGCGCCGCTACCTGCATATAAACCGTGTCGCGGACACCGCCATGTTGAAATGACGCTATGCATTACGGGGCTCCCAGGGGCAGATAAGAGTTGGTCTCTCTCCGAGAATAATTATGAATTTAACAATGATTACTGCCTGATGACATTTTCCCACATCTGCAAAGCTCACTGGAAGGACACAAACCGAGGACGATATTTTCCTGATATAGGGGTTATTACTCAAGTAAGGGTAAAAAAGTATCTGATTAGAAGGCTACTGGAGTACTGAGTATTACAGACCTTTTTGGATTCATGCAGCTGTCTTTCTCCCTGCTTTATGCCGTGTTGACCTCTGAAATCACACGTGGTGTTGCAATTCTCTTGTGATTTTGTGACCAGCGGCGTGGAACACTTGCACTCTCGCTTCTTAAACGCTCCTGGTTGGGAAGGAGCTCACGGGTGAAATGCTGCTATTTCCTTACGCGCCGCTTTCACGTCCAGTGGAAAGGTTTCAGATTTACGGTGACAGCTACAGTCTACCCAAGCCTGAGAGAGATCTACAGACTCCACAGACCTGAGCCTTCCTCAGCAGGTCGATGGTCAGAACCAGCCAGTCGGGACAGCAGGTCTCCAGCTCCAAGGTGAGAAGGGCCAAAGCCAGCATGGATCCTCTGAGCTGCACAGAAACGACCCATAAAGCATCAGAGCTCAGAAATGAGCCCCGACGGCGCCGCTCTGTCCTGTTGTTCTACCTGAACGAGTGTGTGGTCAGCCAGACAGGTGTACAGTCGCCGAATGAGCAGGCCCAGGTGCTGAGAGCGGTTCAGTCCCAACATGGAGTCCAGAAACCTGGATCGACAGGACAACACCATCACATGGAACTGTGGGGGAGAGGAGAGGACAAAGATCTGTTCTCTGGCCTGTCTGAACCGGATCCACACCAGGATCAGATTTAACTCTAAAGTTAGATTCGAGTCAGATTAATCAGGTTCTACTCATTTGGGCCACCAGGGGTCACCAGAGAGCAGATTTGTCACAGACCAACTAAACTGTTAAAATGATCTGCAAGAACACGCAGTGGAACTGAATAAACAAACAAATAAACCAGACCGAAACGATCCAGCCACAAACAGGAAGAAGAACTATTTTAGCTCCTACGTCCAGGAAAACTCGTCAAGAAAAGCAGAATTCAGCTGGGATCTATCCCCCCCCCCCCCCCCCCCACACACACACACACACAGTAACGGATCTCTCTGTGCTTGCTTCACTGTTGCTCATGTTTCTTCAGAACTCCCTAGGTTTTCTTCACATCGCTTCTTTTTCAGTTTAATATTTAAAGTTACTTTTTTCGTAACGTGCGTGGTGCATTTGACAAGACAGAGCTGACTCACTCACTCTCTCTCTCTCTCACTCACTCACTCACTCACTCACTCACTCACTCACTCACTCACACACACACACACACACACACACACACTCACTCACACACTCACTCACACACACCTCAATCAACATTGTTTTGTTTAACTGTGTGTGGGGGAAAATGCCAACAACGTTAGGAAAAAATCAGTTTAATCAAATTAAAATAGTGGTTCTAGTGATTCATATTTCCTAGTTCCTACTGCATGAGTTCAGATGAATTAATTCATGCACTTAAACATTAATGTTCTGATTTTACTGAAAAACTTGTTCTGTAATACTTCCTTTACTATTGTGATCAAAACTCAGTTCTGAAGCTGCTCTGTAAAGTTTTCTAATAAACAATACACATATCAACTTCTGATCAATTCATATCAATTTCAGACTTAATATATTGATGTAAACCACGCGCACTAAGGTGCATTCATCTGTGTATGTCCTTTGATCCGCATGAGTGATGTTTTCAGCACCAGAACAAAGAAACAGATTCCTGAGTTTATGTTAGTAATTTTATTTATTAGGTGCATCTGACCTGTTCTATTTTTCTCTGAAATGAGATCAGATCAGTGCTTCTATGGGTCGTCTCCTCTCTGCACTGGAAACATGTACTTTATTATCATGTTCACTGTAATGCATCTTAAATAAATGGTAAATGGCCGGTGTTTGATAAAGCGCCTTCTAGAGTCCTGGAGCCCCCCAAGGTGCTTTACAACACAATCAGTCATTCATCCATTCACACACACACATTCACACACTGGTGGTGATGAGCTACAATGTAGCCACAGCTGCCCTGGGACGCACTGACAGAGGCGAGGCTGCCGAGCACTGGCGCCACCGGTCCCTCCGACCACCACCAGCAGGTAAGGTGGGTTGCGTGTCTTGCCCAAGGACACAACGACAGCGACAGACTGAACGGGGCTCGAACCTGCAACCTTCCGATTACGGGGCGAGCTCTTAACTCCTGTGCCACCGTCGCCCCTCATCTTGATGTTAACAAATAAATTAAATCAAAGATATTGGTCAATAATGCCAAATATGTAAATTTGTGTTTCAGTCATTTTTATACTGGCTTAAAAATACTTCATTAAGTCTACCAAGCAGGGGTGTAGAGGGTGTTCAACAGGGCCAGCCCGGTAATGGTCTTGGACCAAAATAAAGGCGGCAGAAGGAGATGTTTCTCCAGACGCCAAAAAAACTAAATGCCAACCCTCCCTGCTAAGTGTGTCACTGAGAGTTTAAAACAAATTATTCTTGTGCAAATATTGGTGTACTCACCTTTAATACTAGTTATTAAAATGCAGCAGTTGCTGGACTGGTGCTGATCAAAGTGGAGTGCATCAAATAAAACAATATTAACATAAAGGTGAGACTTTAGTCGTCATTGGCAGTGAATGAGTTAATAAACAAGTAGTCAGTCCTTAACACTACACTACTATTCCAAACGACGCGTCCGGCGCAGCCGAAACATCGCGTGTGCTCTCGCGAGAAAACATGTCCTTCACCAAAAAGGGTCAGAGAAGCACTGTAGAATTAATTTTTCTAAAATAAATTATTTTTATGGCCTAAAAAGACTAAAATATGATGTAGATGTCCATGGTGGTAGCAGGCGATGGCTCCTTTAAAGGACGGAACGTTTAATTTCTTCACAATGAAGCTTTTAAAATGTCTGATTTAACTCAGGACAGATTACTGAACTTCATTCAGACTCTTATTGTAAAAGGAAGTTCTGACTTCCTCTGAACAGAAGTAGCTTCAGTGTGTGTGTGTGTGTGTGTGTGTGTGTGTGTGTGTGCGTGTGTGTGTGTGAGAAACACATACAATGTGCAGGAAGTCCAGTGCTGTAGCGGTGTGCAGATCCCAGTCCAGTTTATCCAAGATGATCCTCTCCATTCTCAGGATCTCTGATGGGGAGCAGCCACAGTTACTGGAAACAGCCAAATCCTTCAGAGATGGGACACACTGAGAGACATGGAGAGACAGAGGTAGACACACACACACACACACACACACACACACACACACACACAGTTAAGACACCAAACGGACCCCAGACTCATGTATCTGATCCTCCTATCAACGTTGTTGTTTACCTCGTCCTCCTCACAGGTTTTAGCTGCCAGGAAGAAGCAGGTGATGGCGATGCAGCGCAGGTACTTTGGACGGGCCTGAAACACACATTTACTCAGTTAGTCGGTAAAATGTGCAGCTTTGAACAAACTAAAGAGCCAAACCGGTTTTAATGTAGGAAAATAAACTAAAACCAAAGTTTAGTGGGAATCAGAGCTGGATGCTGATGTTAAAGCTACAGCAGCTGAAGAACGCATCAAGTCTGTCCCGGTCCCGGTCTTCATCATGAAACAAATAAAGGTTAACCTTACCCGGTAAAAACACGTTCGCTGTAAACCTGAGGGCTGCTAGTCCGTTTAATTTATCGCTGCAGTTCATCTCCGTCCTCAGTCTCGATCAACGTTAAAATAAATAAACAAAACGAGTTGACTTCACATCTTTGTCTGTTAGTGCAGCCAGCCACGTAGCAAGTTTTTATTTTACTGTGAAAACAACTACAGTGGGGCAAAAAAGTATTTAGTCAGCCACCGATTGTGCAAGTTCTCCCACTTAAAATGATGACAGAGGTCAGTAATTTTCATCATAGGTACACTTCAACTGTGAGAGACAGAATGTGGAAAAAAAATCCATGAATTCACATGGCAGGATTTTAAAGAATGTATTTGTAAATCAGGGTGGAAAATAAGTATTTGGTCAATAACAAAAATTCAACTCAATACTTTGTAACATAACCTTTGTTGGCAATAACAGAGGTCAAACGATTACTATAGGTCTTTACCAGGTTTGCACACACAGTAGCTGGTATTTTGGCCCATTCCTCCATGCAGATCTTCTCGAGAGCAGTGATGTTTTGGGGCTGTTGCCGAGCAACACGGTCTTTCAACTCCCTCCACAGATTTTCTATGGGGTGGAGGTCTGGAGACTGGCTAGGCCACTCCAGGACTTTCAAACGCTTCTTACGGAGCCACTCCTTTGTTGCCCGGGTGGTGTGTTTGGGATCATTGTCGTGTTGGAAGACCCAGCCACGTTTCATCTTCAAAACTCTCACTGATGGAAGGAGGTTTTGGCTCAGAATCCCACGATACATGGCCCCATTCATTCTGTCCTTAACACAGATCAGTCGTCCTGTCCCCTTAGCAGAAAAACAGCCCCAAAGCATGATGTTCCCACCCCCATGCTTCACAGTAGGTATGGTGTTCTTGGGATGCAACTCAGTATTCTTCTTCCTCCAAACACGACGAGTTGAGTTTATACCAAAAAGTTCTACTTTGGTTTTATCTGACCACATGACATTCTCCCAATCCTCTGCTGTATCATCCATGTGCTCTCTGGCAAACTTCAGACGGGCCTGGACATGCACTGGCTTCAGCAGCGGAACACGTCTGGCACTGCAGGATTTGATTCCCTGCCGTTGTAGTGTGTTACTGATGGTGACCTTTGTTACTGTGGTCCCAGCTCTCTGCAGGTCATTCACCAGGTCCCCCCGTGTGGTTCTGGGATTCTTGCTCACCGTTCTCATGATCATTTTGACCCCACGGGATGAGATCTTGCGTGGAGCCCCAGATCGAGGGAGATTATCAGTGGTCTTGTATGTCTTCCATTTTCTGATAATTGCTCCCACAGTTGATTTTTTAACACCAAGCTGCTTGCCTATTGTAGATTCACTCTTCCCAGTCTGGTGCAGGTCTACAATTCTTTTCCTGGTGTCCTTCGAAAGCTCTTTGGTCTTGGCCATAGTGGAGTTTGGAGTCCGACTGTTTGAGGCTGTGGACAGGTGTCTTTTATACAGATAATGAGTTCAAACAGGTGCCATTAATACAGGTAACGAGTGGAGGACAGAAAAGCTTCTTAAAGAAGACGTTACAGGTCTGTGAGAGCCAGAGATTTTCCTTGTTTGAAGTGACCAAATACTTATTTTCCACCCTGATTTACAAATAAATTCTTTAAAAATCCTGCCGTGTGAATTCATGGAGTTTTTTTTTCACATTCTGTCTCTCACAGTTGAAGTGTACCTATGATGTAAATTACTGACCTCTGTCATCATTTTAAGTGGGAGAACTTGCACAATCGGTGGCTGACTAAATACTTTTTTGCCCCACTGTATATAAAAGCGATAAAAGGCTACAAACGGGCTTGTTTTGACTAGCTTCAGCAGAGTTTCAACAAGTGTAAACGCTCTTTTTGCCGTCCATCATGGCGAACGGGGCGGTCCCACGAGTGGTGTGACGTCACGTGCAAAGGGTCAGTAAGAGCTGCAGCAGTAGAGAGGCCCGGCCCAACCCAACAACACAAAGCCCCCCTTCCCCTTCCCCCATCAGTGGTCATAATGTTGTTGTCCCTCTGCAGACCCTGAATATATGAATATGAGCTCAGGAGAATCGCAGTAAACCTGCGTTTACATGAGTGTTCCATGGTTCTTGTGCAGGCTTGGTGAGGAGAACCCACAGCAGAACCGGTTGTGTCTCTGTACCTTGATGGGAGCGAGGAAGCGATCCAGAAGGCTAACCGCCAACACCAGGGTCTCTGGGTAGAGCTGCAGCCTGGCGTGGAGCTCCGTTAGCCAGCGAACGGCTTCGTCCCGCTGGGCCGGGGAGACGTCTGTATCCTGCAAACCAAAACAAACACACAGAGTTTATATCCGAGTCCAGAAGGGAGGAGCCACGAAGAGCAGAACTTATCCTGAACGCTGCCGCCCCGGTTTATCATCGGCGTGAGCTGAACGTTTAGTGGTTTCAGGTTAACGATGGTCAGAATTCCCAGAAGGCTACAGTCCGGCTCAAGTTACCTGACAGGTGAGTTTGCAGAATCACAAAAGACCCACATGAGTGTTGGTGAAGTTTCCACTCAGGTCAGATGTAGCCATGTTGGACGCGAGTCCTGTCCATTACCAGTTCCTCGCTGGGCCAGTGGACCAGTTTGATTTTCAGGTGGAACCATGATGGATTTGTTGGTATGAACATGATGTCTCAGATCTGGCTACGGGTTCGGGTTGGGACACAAATGCAGATCAAATCTGATGTTTTCTTGCTCCAGTTTAGCGACGCCATTTTTATTCTGTTTAGTCTCTGATGTCTCCGAGTTGTCTCACGTTCCTCTGACGTTCCGAGTCCCAGAGGCTGAACTGGGACCAGTTCCAGATGCTTCGTTAACCATTCGGAGAGAAAAGTTCAGTTTTATAAACAACACTTTCACAGGTTTTAGAATTGTTCTCATGTCTGTAAATAAAAAACAGCTGATTTACTGAAAACAAGCATCCAACTGAGCCAAAGAACACGTTACAGCCTGTTCCTCATAAACTCGTGGTCTGTTAGGTTTATGGTTTGAAGTTAATTATTAAACGACATCTCGGCCGTATTTGTTTTTAAAATAGCAGAACTGTGGCAGAAGACGTGAACAGATCCTAAACTCTGGAAATGTCCCGATTGTAGGAAGGCCGGGCTGCTGGGGAGGAAAACACACTTAAGATCCGATGCCTTTATATTACGGATCATTCCATCAGAACTATTGGGAAATCCTTGGATCACAGAACGTTCTGCCCAGATTACGACAGGAACGAGACGCGAGACGTCCCAGACCAGGGTGCGAGGACAAGAAGATGACGTCATGTTTTCTAGTGAGAAGAACAAAGATCTGGTTGCCGTAGAAATGGGCCATTAAGGCGTGTTCACTAGTTCAGACCAGCTGAAGTGTGATGAAACACAAAGACCAGGTGAAGTCAGCTGTTGTGTGCAATACCCAGATGCTCATTTGGGTGTCTGGGTCCAATCTGCTGTTTCCTCTTGGAAACTCAATTTTCTATTTTTATTCATTTTTTAAATTGTTAAACAGCCCTCGAGTATTTACTAGATGTGCCTGAAAAAAAATCAACTCACGTTCAAATCACGATTTTTATATATAAAGATTCTGAATCGATTGATGAAGATCTGGAATCGATCCTGTGGAGAGGCATGCTGCCGTATTTACAAGCACCCTGAATGCATCATCGCTGGAGCCGGTGCTAGCTGCAGCTGCTAGCGCTGTGTGCTCCTGGGCTACAATCAGCACAAATACAACTGTGTTGTCTCATGCCGACTGCACCGTGCATTAAGACTTATTAGAGCCTTCGTGTTCAGAGATATAAGAAAATATCAATATGGCAACATATCGCAATTTTTTTTCCTGTCATATTACATCAATATTCAAAAGCCAAGTATCGACTTTTTAGAAGAATTTACACGCTAACATTTGTGCCTTTTCATTTCTTTTGGTGCAATTCAAACGCCGACAGCGAGCAAAGGAGAAGCACAGGTATGGGGTCAGATGGGTGCCAAAACCAGTGCATGCGTACCGTAAATCCTCTAATACAGGCCCGGGCCTGTACTAGAGGATTTACTGTAATTATATATATATATATATATATATATATATATATATATATATATATATATATATATATATATATATATATATATATATATATATATATAAAATTACCGTAAATCCTCTAATACAGGCCCGGGCCTGTATTTGACTCAAGCTCATCAAGCTCCGGGCCTTTATTGGAAAGAGGGCCAGAATTAGAGGCAGGCCTCAATTTCTATTTGAGCAAAATGAACTAATGGTTCGCTGGAGTTTTTGACAATTAAAATTGCGTCCACATTTTCAAAGTTAAACACATTTCTTTTAACAACGGTAGTTTCTGCTTCAGCCCTCTCCCCTCTCCCCCTGCGCAGCGGCCGCAAACTCACTGATGCGCCTGCAGCCTCTCGGAGTTCCTGCTGCTCTAAACATTAAAATAATTACCGTAAATCCTCTAATATTAGCTTGCATTTAATTAACTGCCGGGTATCATATTTTGGCCTGGGTCGGAGTCGGCGGAGGTGAATAATGGCCATTATTTTATTGTGGCCAGGTGGAATGTGGTAACAAGCAAGTGCCACAGGGGGGCGGTTGTGTCATCCGTCTCACTTTTGATTTGCCAGTGATAGACCGCGAGGGTAACTTTAATCGTGCGGAGACGAAGAGGAGGCGAAAATTTTATATCACGTTCAAAGAGAACGTGCTGATTATGCTGCAGAACACTCTGGGGAGCAGTAGCAGGGGTTGTATGAGCTAGTCACTAGTCCACTTCACCGCTCTATGGTGACTTTTTATGCCTGTCATCGACTAGTCGCTGTCACGTGATAATGACCGGCAAGATGCAGCCCACAGAAAAGACAGCAGCGTGCTGTCAGCAGGTGACAAGCTCCTGCACGTCTGGAAGCAACGCGCTGTGCCAGAGCGTCGGTACTGACACCCGCCGTAAAACGGACATTTAACCAAATTGTGACCTTTACCCTCTTGCAATTTAACCTTCCCCTCACCCCCACCCTAACCTTAACCAGCGTGCGCATGCAAAGCTCTGACTGTAGACGTGCTCCACACATCTGCGTCCTGAGCACGGCCACAGTAACATTATCAAATCAGGTGTCACCACCTCAAAAACTAATTTAACACGCGATCGTGGGTCAAAACCATGGGTCAAAAATTGTACAGTGCGGTAAACAGACATGGGACCCCATACCACTATCACACCTCCGTCATGAATCAGTCAATTCCAGCGACCATATTAACCGACTCAGAGCAACTGAAAATTTTGATATTTTCTTGCAACTCTGCATCTCACCAGTCACCACCCAGTGGGATTACGGAGATTACTGGCTATACTGGTGGCATGAGTCTGTATTCTGGAGAACCTCCACAAGCACGTCTGTGATCACTAACAGGACACTTGCTGTTAGAATCTCTGTTGACTACTAGTGTTTAAATCTCAGAGTCAGGTCACCGATCAGATGCCTCGTTTATCATTTCAGTTGTTTTATTTGTGCATTTAGGTCCAGCATCCACTCCAGAAGACTGTGGTAATGTGTGCGTGCGCGTGTGCGCGCGTGTGTGTGTGTGTGTGTACATGCAATACAAACATCTATTTGACCATCACAGCTAATGCGAGTTTCTGTGCCTGTGTGTCGCCTCACTTCCTGTGACGTAGTTCTACGCTTTCATAACGGAGGAAAAGCAGAAATGTGGCTGGTTGTGATGTTCAGGTGTTTCCCTTTGAGACAAATTTTGACTAAAATGAACAAAAACTTTGACATGAACGTTTCAGATAGTTACAACAGCTGGGAGGGGTTGTTTTTAAAGGGGTGGTTTACTCGTTTAATCAACAAATCAGCAGTTGTCTCTAGTAGGAATGAATGCCTTGTAAGTCGTACTTCAGGGAAAAAAACACTCTGAACCATTTTCAGGAGCTAGAAGTGAGCAACATCAGAGCTCAGCTTCAGACGACAGGATCTGGAGTTTTATTTCCTGATATGTGGACATCTCTCCTCTGATTGGCTAACAGCAACACGACTACTACTGACTGTTTGCTCTGCCACGTTGATGTTTCATCTCCACCAATAACACAAGCCTGGAGGAGTTCTGCTGTGTGGTGGAGTTGCTAATGCTAACGGTTAGCTTCTACTAACAGAGACATTCTCTGCAGTTTCCTGGACGCTAAACCAATAACAGCCTTCCCCGTCATGAGTCCATGAATGTTAGTGACAGTGTGAAGTAGATCTGTCAGGATTTTATAATCCTAGAGTTTCACTGTTTTCTATCAGAAGCTACTGCAGGAGATAGGTGTAGGAGACTATTTTCATGTTTTGAAGCATTACATGGCCAGGGTCCACCATATTTGAAAGCCTGACTACAGCAGTATGCTCCACCCAGATCACTACGGTGACTGCCACCTGGTGACTTTAAGAACGATGTTGGTTTGCGGAGATCGAGCTTTTGCTGTGGTAGCTCGCCAATTGTGGAGCCCTCTTCCCCTTCATATGAGACGGGCTACCTCAGTGGCTACCTTTAAGAAGCAATTTGATCCTCCTAAAACTTATAAAAACTAATCTATATTATCCGGCTTTTAACTCAAATGAACTTTTCTTCTTTGATGGATTGTACCGTTTCTTTGCTACATAAATCTTATTGTTTTTATGACGTTATCGTGTGCAGCCAGTTCGGAGAACTGGCCCAGGAAAGCCTTGGGGTCCTACCGGAGGAGCTGATGGAGGTGGTCACCGGGGAGAGGACGGTCTGAAACTCCCTAGTTGGAATGCTGCCTCCGCGACCCGAATGGGGGGAGGAGACGAGGTGAGAGACGAGAGAGATCTTGTGCAGCGCTTTGGTCAATGTGCTTTAAAAATAAAGCTTTGCCCTTTTTGTTGAATTTAAAGGTGTGGTTGACCAAAAACCCATGTTTAATGATTATTTCTGATTCCAACTGGTCCCTCTGAGTTTTTCATGCAGGCTGAACATGAAAATAGTCTCCTACACCCATCTCATGCATTAGCTTCTGATAGATAACTCTAGGATTAGAAAAGCCTGACAGATCTACGTCACGTTATGAATGGACTTACCCATACTGACTCACGACCGGAAGGCTGTTGTTTTAGTGTCCAGAATCAGCAGCGAACGTCTCGGTCAAAACAAACAAACCGCTAGCAACAGCAACTCACTCACATAGCAGAAGCTCCTCCAGGCTTGTGTTATTTGTCCTTGAGCAAACAGTCAGTGGCAGGGTTGCATCGTTTCTATACAATCCAAGGATAGATGTCCAAATATCAGGAATAAAGACTCCAAATCCTCTCGTTTGAAGCACCGCTCTGATGTGGCAGACTTGGTCCTGCTGGGCGTGGACTACCAGCTCAGTGGCCTAGTGGTAGAGTGTTCGCCCTAAGACAGAGATCAGGGTTCAAACCCTGGTCGTGTCATACCAAACACTTTGAACAAATGGGATGGAATGCCTCCCTGCTTGATGAGCGCGGCTGTGTCTGCAGCTCACCACTCCCCCAGGGGATGGGTCGAACATGGAAAACAAATTTTGCACACACAGTGTGTGTGGCAACTAATGGGACTTCCAACTATTTCTGTGCCCTGAGTACGGCCTGTAAGGCATTCATTCCTACTAGAGACCACTGCAACTGTATTTATTAAAGGAGTAAACCACTCCCTTAGGACTGAAGTTTTTACTTTATTAATCAACTTTTAGAGTTTACAATGTTTCAGGCAGATAAAAGCCAGCAACAGTCAGGAGCTGACTTGTTGTATGTTTCTATAACTATACGAGGTTTATCCTAGAGACTCTAGTCCCACTTCAGCTCCAGGAATCACCCCCCCTTAGAACTTCACCTCTCCTTTTGGGGGCACACCCCCAGCAGGTCCTTGAGTTCCGGTGACCAAAGCCTACTGGTTGTGCAGCACCAGGCTAAAGGTCAAAGGTGACAGATCATCTGCTGCTGTGGCCCCCAGACTCTGGACCTCTCTCCCCCTGCGCCTGAGATCTGTGGACTCAGTGGTCTCCTTTAAACTCACCTGTTCAGGCTTTGGTGTGACTTTCACCACCTCCCTCTCCTTACTCTGCTCTTATTGTACCTTTCCCAAGATCCACTGACTTCCCTCTCTCCCTTTCCTTACATTTTTTTTATCACAATTTTATTTTTTCCTCATTTAAAACATTTTTTAAATATATTTTTTTAAATCTTTATTAGACTTAATCTTTTTGTTTGTTTTTGTAAAGCACCTCGTGATTTTTAACTTGAGAGGCGCTTTATAAAAGATGGTTTTCTTCCTTTCACAGAGGGTCGATTCTCACCTGTGAGCAGGGCTTCTTGGGCACGTAGATCTTCCACATCTTGGCTTCCCTAGAGGTGGCCTTTTCTAGAAGAAAAGACAGCCTCTGGCGTCCCCAGGGTTGGGCAAACTTCATTCTGTCCTCCCCAGGTTGAGCCTACCTCCCCACTGGATACAGCTACCTGCATGGTGACGAACACGTTCATCCATCAGATGCAGGATTTAAAAACAAGTTTTTATGCATAAAAATGTGATGTTCTGATGCGACTTTAGATCTGGAGTTTAAAGTATATTTGAATACCAGCATGTAATGTACAGCTCTGAACACAGACATTCTTGATCCTAAAAGCCTTAGCAGCATCACAAGGTTTATTTGATCTAAAATAGCATTATTTACAGCCTAATGATTCTCAGCTGGGTTTAAGGTCATCACTCAGGGGTTCGTCGGTCTGCAGAACCTGGACCGAACCAACAGAAGGAACCCCGAATCATGATTTTTACCTCCACAGGATTGGGATGATGGGAGCAACACTTAATCTAATCCATGTCAAACTGATACTGAATAGATTTGGGCTAATCTGACATGTTTAACAAAATGTGTTGTTTAATTATCCTCTCTGATAAATGTTTAGGCCATGCAGCTTGTCAGTCCAAACATTTAGTTCTGCAAGAAATGCAATTAATCTAATTATTACATGCGTTTAGACATTTCCTCCTCAATAGCTCTGCATACTTGAGCAATAAGTTGCTCTTTCTAAAGCCAAATGAGGGTTATCGAATCACAGGCGCTGTTAACCACTTCGTTATGGGTTAAATGACTAGTTGCCATTAAAAACCAACAGCTGTGTCAGCTGGACAGTGTAAACTGGATTTCAACTAAAGAGGAGTACTGTGTTTGAATTCATGCATAACTCCAACTTATTTGACTCTGTGGAGGCAGGACAAGATAGACTTGCTGAGTAAACACAAAAACAGAAGATAATATTTTGGTTTAATGATTGCAGCAGAAACTGAACTTTGAAGTTTTGTAACATCATAATGGTCTAACTTAATTGTCTCGTTTCAGAAAACATGTTCTGATTTTAGATCAAACCAAAAATCCCACTAAAGAGGTTCTAACTGAAAAATAATCAAGTCACAACAGGCCATTTTCCACCATCACCTTTAATTGTACGGCTTGAACTATATTTTCTAATAAACAGCTTAATTTTCCTAGGAGATTTCTTATTAAAACATACATCAGTATTTATTCTGTAACTGATGGACAGCCAAAGTGAAACCAAAATGCTCACGAAAAACACCTAAAACATCCAACGGAAGTGTCGGGTTTCATGGAGCTTTTAGCGCAGGTGAATCCATATACACATTAAAATGAACCCGACTAGTATCTGGAACGTAGCTCGTTTTAACGTGCTAGCATACATAGCATCGCTAGCTGCTAACGCAAGCTAGTCAATAAGAATTAACTAAGGCTTCACAACATGACATAAAAATAAATCTCTGATCTTAAGGGGTGTCGAATACTACGCAGATATTGTCGTTTGTTTTGAGTTTGAACCAAGAAAGAACCAAATACACAACATGGGTATTTAAATGGCTGACTATCTCCAGATAGTAGACGGAGCCTGAAGCCTTACCTCCCCTGCGAAGCGGAGAAAACCACAGATGGGTTTCATCCGGTCCACTCGATCCAGAGATAAAGAAAAACGGGTGGAATCGAGTACCCGAACCTCGATTTAGTCGTCCATTGTCGCTGCCATTGTGCAGAGTGTCAGGGGAAAGGGGTAGTTATAAAAATATTTAAAAAAGAAATGAACGGAATATAGACGGATACGTCTCCTTCCGAGGAGGGGACTAAGGGAAGGGAGCAAGACTGTCCCCGCCCACCCCAAGGCAGCTCAGCAGAGAAACAATCGCACCTTTTGTGTTATATATTTAATTAAAAATATGAAATTCATCAAGATGTATATAAATTGAGACAAAACTTTGTTAAACAACTACATATCCGTTCAAACATAAGGCAAATACAATAAAATCACCACTATGTTTTTCTGCGCAGCTGTTTTTTATTTAAAAGCTGATCAAGATAAAAACAACAATTAAAGTCCAACTCAAATATTTGCAAAAGTATAGATATGCATATGCAGTTGGAGAAAAGGTCTGTAGAACTACTGAGTTGTTGAAGCTGGTGTGTTGACAGAAAACACGGATTAATCAGTCCTCAGCTGGATCGATGCAAGTACCGTGGAAGATTGTTTTTAGCGTAAATGTTGTAAAGGGGAGCGCACAGTGGAGTGAATGAGATAATTAGAGCTTTATATAATATAATTTATTAATCTTAGTTAATTATAGAACAGAAAGTGGCTTCAGAACAGCAGGACTGTAGGTGAACTGCAAGAAGGAAATGTGATTTTATTTCAGAAAACCCAGACAGAAACTACCTTTTCACAAAGCTCAAGTTTCAGTATTTACAGACTGTTTATTTATTTCGTTTAATAAACATTTTGTTGAACGCAGCTGATGAAAGACAGTCAAACGCAATACGTAATGCCAATGTTGCGTCAGGTTCCTATACATCCACGGGCCAATCACAGTAAACCATTTTAGGCGGACTATTTGAACGTGTCTAAATGCAGATTGCTGATTGGCTAATGAAAACGTCAATCAAGAAGGTGCGTCTCCGTTCCAGTTTCTGTGTTCGGATCGAAAATTACATTTGTCTGTTGACCGGAACTGTTATCAGTCTCGGGTTTGGACATCAGTCACGTTTGTGAAAATGCGATGAGAATCTGACAGTAAAATGGTAATTTAAGGGTTTAGTTGGCACAATTAAACCAGAGAAGAGGCGGGCCTTCGCGTTACACAACGCCATGTGATTGGCTGTTATGGAGTGAATACGACATGTAGGCGTGCCTACGGCGATCGTCAACAAAAGAGAGAAAATAAAGGAGGAACAGAAGAAAGCTCGGAAGGAAAAACAGCTGAGAGGAGACGGCAGTTATGAGGGTTTAACAGGCAAAAACAGGTACAGGAAACCTTCTAGAACACATTTATGTCGTATTATTTACACCGAGACCGTATATTTAATGTGTAAAACGCGGCTTTACTGCGATCTGTGTTCTGTAACATTAAGAACAGGAAGACCCATAGCAAACAATAGACCGTTAACACAGCTCTTAATATTATGAGTATAATAAACGTTATGCTCGTCTCATAACAATACCAGTTCGTCTGGCGACATTTCAAAGCAAATTTGTACAAAATAACTTTAAAATGTTTTTATAATTCAGTATTTTCTAGCAGGAGCTGGCCGTCCTTTTGTTTCGTCTCTTGGTGACATTAAACGTGATGAATCAGTTTAAAACATATTTTTTAAAGGCGTGATTTTTGAGCCACGAAGTGATGCTTTAGCCTTTTTGTTGATATGTTTGTTAGAGAAATGGTTGAAAAAGATCCGCCCCTCCCCCACTCCTGCCCGAGGGGATTTAAAACGCCTGCTGGGCTCGGTTCTTCGGTCCGGTCCGCTTCGAACCTCCGGCAGACAGAGAAGAACCCGTTTTTATGAAGTTTAGCTCGGTTATCAACAACCCGAGCCTTAAAAAGTAGCTGTTTGACGGTCAGAGGACAAAGAAGGCGTCTACCGGGGGAAATCTGACGCCGGAGCCCAGCTGAGGGAAGTGGGCCGGGCTTGATGCTCCCTGCCGGGGCTGAGGGATCACCCGAAGGCCGGTCACAGCTCATCAGTTTCTGCTGACATATAAACAAGAGTCGCTCTCATTTTTAACCAGATTGTCCTAAATATACCGGAGGTGTGTTATTGCTCTGGGTTAGGGCTGTAATAACACTTTTTCAGTATTATTATTAAACTACAGATTCACGTCAGACAAGACAGAACTTAACTGAAAATCAATTAAAGCAGCCATAGTTTATGCTAGTTTGTTGTTTTTCTGGGAGAAGAATGAAAACGACACCATCTTATACGGTGGTTTTATTCAACACTTTTCTTTCTGCTCATTTTTTCTGGCGGTTGTATTTTACATTTTAAAAAATTGCATCATCAGACTGTTTCTAAAGAGCAGAAAGCCCAACGTCTGACGTGAGCATCGCGTGCCTTTAAACGTCAGGAAACCGGTGGAGGGTAAAACGGGAAGTGTCCGGCCTCAAAACAGTGACAGATGAGCGATGCGTGACGTCTTTATGCAGCAGGGAAAAGTCCAGAGATCTGAAACTGGACCTGGAAGGTGGCCAGAAACCGGAAGAAGTGCCGTGACTGAATCAGCTGTTTATAAGCTGATGGCTCTTTCTTCTTTCAGAGATAAAAACCCTTGGAGAAGTTCTTCCAGAGCCAGCGGAGATGGATGCTGTCAGGCTGAAGAAGGAGCTGAAGCTCAACTATGAGCAGGAGGCGAATTATCTCCCCAAAGAGGCCGGGCTGAAGCTTATCGAGTCTGCGGTGGAGGTGAGATCCAGGCCACGATACGTTCAAGTAACAGTCATACCTTTCTCCACCGGGTTACTGACGGTCTTGGCTTTCCAGGGGGGCAGTCGGATCTCGGCCAAGTGCAGAGATGCCAAAGTGGAAGATCTGTGGAGCCTGACGAGCTTCTTCGGCTACAGCACGCAGACCTTCGTCCTGGCTGTTAACCTACTGGACAGATTCCTGGCCATGATAAAGGTAAGCACCCGGCCGTGGCTTTAGCGCCCGGGTGTACTTGGACGGTCTTTGACACGCCTGCCTGTGACCCGCTCAGGTCCAGCCCAAGCACCTTGCCTGCGTCAGCCTCAGCTGCCTCCACATGGCGGCCAAGGTGACGGAGGAGGAGTGCAACCTGACGCCCACCGATGAGCTCATCCGGATTGGACAGTGCCGGTTCACTGTGTCCGATCTCTGCCGCATGGAGAAGATCATCGCCGACAAGCTCCACTTCAAGTCCAAAGCGGTCACTGCCTTAACCTTTCTACACCTGTACCTCCAGATCGCACTTTCCCACGCCACCGACAGGTGAGCCCACCTGAACCAGTCCGGTCTGGTTCCTGCCTCTCAGACTTGATGTTTTTTTTTGGCCTGTTGGGGTCAATCCCCATCTGCTTTCTGATTGGCCGAAACGCAGCTTGTCTGTCTTAGAGACAAATGTAGAACAGCAGTCATCACCTGACCGAAGGGCACTGATAAGACTTGTTTTACGTTCCCCTGCTGCTGGCAGCAACACCGTACCCTTCTGTAACCCCGCTGGAATAAAGCAACAGTTCCTTCTGCTTTCTGTTCTGCTCTCACGTGACCGTGTGATGGAAACTCGATTAAATCTGTTTTCTAAAGCGGCCAAACTCTGAACTCTAAATCTGTAAACAGGAAGGAGATTCTGAATCCGGAGAAGCTGGAGGCTCAGCTCAAAGCCTGTCTGTGCCGGATCTCCTTCTCCAGAGCAAAGGTAGGAACTCGCAGCCGCTCGGAGATCGGCGTCCCCGTTTGGACTGCAGCACTGAGTCTCGTCTGTGTCCACACAGCCGTCCGTCCTGGCCCTGTCTCTCCTGAAGCAGGAGATCAAAGCCGTCCAGCCCGAGGACATGTTGGAGATCGCCTCCCACATCCAGAGACACCTGAAGGTACGTCCCACGCTCAGCAGGGGATCACTACACCACGGCAGGAAAATAAACCCCCGCGGCCTGGGAAAATATAGGAATACTCGGAAACTCTCCACAGGTTTAGGAATTAAATAGTTAGCAGTTACACACCACACAAAGGGAAACAAGTCGGTTTAATTACAGTTTTAATCTCCAAAAATCAAATGTTCAGATCTGTCGACATCAGAAACACCACCCTCTGCTTTTGATCCTTCCCGTCAGAAGCTCAGAACAAGTTGCGTTCCTGGATGTTTCCAACAAAACGACCAGGAGAGGCAGCAGCTGCTCCGATCTGAAACTCCAGGAAAGCGTTCCGTAGCCGAGGTGGTTTTCCTGGAAAGCTTCCAAACCAGAAACATTTTGTTCCAGAGATCTCCTCAGATTCCTCCAGAGGAACGAGCAGCTGAGCAGCTTTTAGGTGCGACCCTTCAAAGTTCAGGTGTCACATGACCGGCTGATCGGGTTTCAGCACAAATCCTTTAAAACCGTTTCTGCCTGGCCCGCTTGACCTCCCGACCCGAACAGCAGCCCCGGCTCTGTTTACAGCTTTCAGGAGCGCTGCTCGATTGGATCGTGTTAAAGACGTGGCTGTTAGGGGGCGGGGCCGAGCGATCTCCACTGACCCTCTGATTGGTTTGGTTTCAGATTCCTGAAGGAGAGTTGGTGCTGTGGAGCGAGCGCGTGGCCCGGTGTCTGTCGGACTACGCCTCGCCCGAGTGTAGCAAACCCAACCACAGGAAGCTGCAGTGGATCGTGTCCCGGCGGACTGCCCAGACCCTGCACAGCCACCGCAGCGTCCCCGAGCTGCCCACCATCCCAGAAGACTGCTGGGACGAGAGTGAGAGGTCAGAGTTCAGAGAATTAGTTGTCCATCAGGACTGATAAGCTAACAGCTAGTCAAATACATTACAGTTGCTTCAAACTCCAAAACCCAAATCATATAAATAAATCATAATTAATACATTTAATAATAATTTATAATTGACTAAATTCTAACTTTGATCTGAGATCTTCTACTTTTAAAGGTCAGCCTCAGCATAACTACACTTTACCATCTATATAAACACGAACTGGGATCAGTTTTTCATTTTGTTAAGGAATTTAGTCATAAATCATTACAGAAAATCTAAATTCTCTCCTCCAGGCAGTGAAGAACTGTTATGCATACGTAGCGTTGGGTACCAAATTCAGTACTTTTTAAGGTACCGACCGAATTCCATAGTACCGACCGAGCACCGACTCACGTCATTTGAAACGGTGCCTCGTTTCGGTACCCGTCCTTCATAACGAGAACTTGCCTAGACAGCTGCGCATGCGCAAGAGCGTTATGTCATCGGTCGCTGCGAGCGAGTTGTAAACAGAGCAGCATGGTAGAAAGAACGCACGCTAAAGCTTGGGTCCACTTCACTAAATGTGATGGGTAACTGGGTGATGATGAAACCAGCAACAACGATCTAAGTGAGATCCTCATCTTAATCTGCTCCGGTAGGTAAATAAAATGTTTAAGATAACGTTAGCTTGGTTTGTTAGCTTCCGTTTCGCTAATGGTGCGTTCGCTTTCTCCTCGGAACTCCGAATTTCCGACTGGAAGAACATGAACGCGCTCTAAAGTTTGGCTTCACTTTACTAAATGCGACGGGTGATTGGGTGAAGATGAAACCAGCGACAACGATCTAAGTGTGAGGCATCATCGTTTTAATCTGCTCCAGCAGCTAAATAAACTGTTTAAGATAACATTAGCTTGATTTGTTAGCTTCCATTGCCACCATTGTTATCAGCTAATGGTGCGTTCGCTTTCTCCTCGGAAATTCTAACTTCCCAGTAGGAAAAATCAAATGAAAAAGGATGGCAAAAGGAATGAAGAAACACAGTAAATTTAGTTCACAGTTAAGATGTTTGCTTCAGTTTAATTATCAGCTTAAAAAACTACAAGGACGATGTTAAAATACAAACAGTTGTATGTTATTTATCGTGATATTTATCAAATATGGTTATATATTGAGAAAATATATATTTAATTATAAAAGCGAATCAAAATATTAAACACTCAAAAGTATCGAAAATTGGTACCGTTAAGTACCGGTATCGATTCCTAGGTACCGGGAATTAGTACCGGATCGATTCAAATGTCAAAGGTACCCATCCCTATGCATACATAACTCACACACGTCATACTAGGTAGCTGCTGATGCTAGCATGGTAAATCACTGTATTTTGTTTACTATCGTGTTCCTAATAAAAACAGAAAATTGCGTTTACAGCTGCAGCTAAAGGTCTGAGCCATATGTCCGTGTCCTACACGTATTTTCAACTAACATAGGTTTGATCTAAAACAATAACCTACATCTATAAATCCGTTTAGAACCGCACCGGTACTTCTGGACTCCAACAGGCGAGTCCCGTTAGCATGACTGCTGCAGCACTAACCGTGTTAGCTCCGCTAAAAGATAAACAAGTAATTTGGGAAAGCTGCGACACACACACACGCAGATATAATCTAAAAGATGATCCCCATTTTTCAACAATAGATCCTCCTATAAGACCGGTAGAACCTCCGTGTCATCCTGGATTAGAAAACAACGATCCGAGCTAGCGAGTTAGCATCAGGAAGATTTATTCTGGTAAGCAATCGGTTCAAGAGATGGTTTGAGTTTCCACTTTGTCTGCGTTTTGCTCCCGCTGTGCACCCACACTTCTTGCGTTTCAGCTCATTTGGGATTTGTGGCTTCAGTTGAGGTATTATTTCAGCCTTTCCCATGTTAATCAGCTGCTCCCGATTGTAAACCAGCTTGTTGCCATGGTTACGCATCATAACAAACGCTCAAAAAGTGGAAAACATAGCAGTAAAAATCCTCCAAGCTTCACAGCACCAGAAACAGAAAAGTAAAGTGTCCAAAAAAATGTTTTTCTTGAGAAACTAGAAGAAAAAATGTCCAAAAAAAGGCAAAACTTACATATAGTCAACAGAGCTACTCCAACATGCAGCCACCTAGAGCAGCGCAGTTCCAGAATCATCCAGGTCGTAATCACAATTTTGTCCTAGCTGCTGCTTAATGTTGCACACCTGATGCATCGAGACCACAAACACGAGTAGAACTTGGTGGCGTACGCAGCTGTGAACACCTAAAGGTGGCAGCTCTCTGCTCAGGCTAGCCGTTAGCTCCGTTTGTACAGAAACTGTTCAGGAAGCTACTTGCAGGCTAATCCAGGAATTGTTTTTAGCTTTAGTCTCTTAAAGGTTTGTTGGTTCCACTTCTAATTTGACAAAGGTGATGCGTAAAATACCAAACATGCCTCGGAGCAGGTATGTAGAACAGAGAACAGACACACCCCTGTGTGTCACCACAAACTAAACCCCGTCTCCATGGTAACGCCACAATAAACAAGCGCGTCAGACCTGCAGATTTCACGAGTGGTTAGTAATAAAATGGTTCAGCCAGCTTTGTGTTTTTCTCCGTAAGAAACAAAAACATTTTCCTGACTCAGACGTGCAGCAACGCGCCCGGGCCCCTCCCGTCAGATACGTGCACTGATCACGTCCCAGCGCCCTGGTGTGATCATCAGCTGATACGTCTGAGACAACAGGAAGTTTAAAACAGCTGTTTCACTTTCTGCTGTTAAAAAACCTTCTTTATGGCTTTTTCTAACTTTATACACATTTTTTATTCTTTAAGGGAATTTATCTGCTTAACATTGGCAGAAAGTCACTGTTTTAAAAGGATCAGTGATCCAACCCTAAATAATCTCCTCCCTCTGTCTCTTACCCCCCCAGTGAGGACTCGTGCGAGGACCTGATGAGTTCAGGGGAGGAGTCTCTGAGCAGCTCTCTGGGCAGCGACGCTGAAGGTCCCTTCTTCCCGCTGCATCTCTGTCTGCAGAAGCACCGCCCGTACTTCTCCACCTGAAGCCGCCGTCCTCCTCTCACCTTCCCAAAGCCCCACCCCCTCCCCTTATTTATGGTCCCATGAGCCCTGGCGGCGACGTGCACAACAGCTGAGCAGTCCTGAAAGACTCAGCAGCTGTTAAATGTTAGTTAAGAGATTCGTTTGGTGCATCAAGCCTGTCACATTCCAGGATCCAGGATGAAGCGCAGCTCCGGATTAACCCGGGTCCTCTGGGTGCTGAGCGGACGCCGCTGCTGATCCTCGCGTTGGTCCAGGCTGCTGCAGCGCGGACTGTTTGCCAAAATGTTGTTTTTATGGAACAGAAAGTTTGTGATATTGACTGTTAGACTGTTGATGCGTGCAAACGAGCAGCAGTTTGAACTTCTTCTGTTCCATCAGGACAAAAGCCGCGTTGTGAAGAACGGTGGTGCCGTGAACGGTCCATCCCGTCCTCCATCACTTTAGGTAACCGCGCTGAAACGCCGCCCAGCTCTCCTCTGGCTTTTTATCCCTGTAGTAAAATTTTATTTGCACAAATTTTAAGTTTAAAGTCTTTGAAAGTGTTAAATGTTGGAGCCCGTTTGCCTTCCGTGTGTTTTTGTGAACGTGTGACTTTTAGGTTTTCTTTCTAAGTTGCCAATTAGACACCGTAGCGTAATCTCAGCTTTAGAGGAGTTAGGAAACGTCAGGATGTCTTTAGTGTGTCGGAAAATAAAAAAATGTTAATATTAAAACATGTAAAACTGTAAATGATGTACAAAAAAAAGCTGTTAATAATTCTTTGTAGATACTAAGTTATTTATTCTTTTGTCACTTGTACTGAAAACAAAAATCATAAAATTTATTTTTAATCACTTGTCTGGTTTTTCTGAATTTAACTCCTGTCATTTGGGCTCACAGGTGACTTGTTCTCCGTGAGGATTGTCCCTCCTGAGCTGCTGTAGAAAGATGTCAGATTTAAGGCAGGACTGATGTAGCCTGTAGATATCAACCTAAAGCCACTAAGTGGAGTGGTTCTATTCACCAGAGGACTCAGGAACGAGAATATGTCCAGATTTAACCAGAAATGAGGGAAAAAGTCAGCGATATTTTCAGAATAAAATAGCTATGTTGATAAAATTTGGGCTGCATGGTGGCGCAGTGGTGGCGTGGCGCAGTGGTTAGCACTGCTGCCTCGCAGCACGAAGGTTGCAGGTTTGAAACTCGGCTGTGGCCTTCCTGCGTGGAGTTGCGTGTTCTCCCCATGCATGCGTGCGTTTCCTCCGGGTACTCCGGTTTCCCCCACAGATCACAACATGCCCTACAGGTTATAAACTGTAAGTCGCTTTGGATAAAAGCGTCTGCCAAATACATAAACATAAAATTACATTTTCAGCGTATCTAACAATAGTAGGAAGTATTCTGTCAAAAACAGAAGACGACTACTTCTTTTAATCCTTCACAATAAGAGTCTTAAACACACTTAACGTATCAGAAACACTTGAAGCTTATACAAATAGTTTAATTCAGTTGGAGTTTTATCAAACAGCATTAATAAAAGATTAGCTGCCTGGACAAAATAAAAGTCTCCACCTGAATTTAACTAAGCAAACAGGTGAGAGCCTCCTATTGGATAATTACTGCAGGGTGATGATCTTTCAGCTGCAACGAGTTATTCAACCCAACTGGTGCAACGAGCTGCTTCTCATTACTTAAACGAGCAGGTGGAAAAACACGTCTGGTGGTCGTGGAGAAGATGTTACTCTGTGTGAGAAGGGTCAGATCATCTGCATCAAGCAGAGAAAACGTCTAAGGAGACGCAGAAACGACTAAAACTGGGTTCAGAACTGTCCAACGCTTTATTAAAACTGGTCTGATGAGTCCAGATGGACCCTGTTCAAGAGTCAATCATGCGGCAATCATGCTTAGGGCCTACTGTACAAGCCTGTGGGGGCAGTGCTATGATCTGGGCTTGCTGCAGTTGGTCAGGTCTAGGTTCAGCAACAGGATGTGCTACAAGAATGAGGTCAGCTGACTTCCTGAATGACCAGGTTATTCAATCTTCTCCGACGGCACGGCCACATTCCAAGATGACATTGCCAGGATTCATCGGGCTAAAATAGTGAAAGAGTGGTTCAGGGAGCACGAGACGTCATTTTCACACATGGATCGGCCTCCACAGAGTCCAGACCTTAACCCCATTGAGAATCTTTGGGATGAGCTGGAGAAGGCTTTGTGCAGCGGTCAGACTCTACCGTCATCAGTGCAACACTGAATGGAAACAAATCTGATGAAGCTTATTGAAACAACGCCACAGCGAATGTGTGTTGTTTTATCCTTTCTGCTTTCCTTTGATGTGAAGCTAACTATGTGTCTGTTGCTGCTGCGAGTTCCCAATCGACTCATCTGGTTAAATGACATAAAAACAATCAAAGCTAAAGGCAGACCAATTAAATATTAGCGTGTGATCTCTTTTGGCCAGGCAGTGTACACTGAGCTGTGTGTATATTTGAGGCTCTTCATGTGAAGGCTAAAAGGGAGTTATAGCTAAAAGATGGCACCAATAATCAATAAAATACAAAGTTATTTGATTTCATCTTTATTCTGGTAAAAAAAAATGCCAGTTTTCTTAAAGGGGCATTATGGAAGTGTGACGGCCAAAACATGTATAGAAATAATAAATGTCTTCTTCATACATTCTCCTGCAATGCCCTGGTCCTGTAGAATGAGCCCTGGCATTTTTACTGTGATTTCCTGTTTTTCTGTAAAATCACAGAAAAAGAGAGATGCTCGGGTCGAGCAGGCTGCTTCATGCGCGTTCACGCTCAGGCATAGCCCGTAGCATTTGCTATCCGTAGCTTTAGCAGCAGAGAGAGAGGCAGTGCCACTTTGTCGCTGTTCCTAACGCCTAGTGACAAAGCTAGCTACATTTCTGAGGACCCTTAGCTACTTTCTGTAGAACTTTCTTCTAGATATTTCCTGCTAATTAGCAACAAAATAGCCATTTTCACTCCAAACCGTTCTTTGGTTTGAACGTTGTTTCAGCTGTCATCAAGGATATAAATGTTACAGATACATAACATCACTGGTGCTTTAGCTCACCTAGTAAGATGTCTGACTCTCATGCAGAAGACCTGGGTTTGATTCTGGATGTGAACAAAGTTTATTTAGAGTTTATTTTTTACATTAATGGTATATTTTTTACAGTAAGATGCCCAACATTTGAGACTCGCCGAACGGCATTGAATTCACAGATAAAAAAGATGTGGGTTCAACTTTCATTTTGGAACAATTTTTCAAGCAAGGGAAGGGAATGATCTGAGCATGCAGGAGGACTGACCCATCATAAACCTTTGTCGGCTGTGCTGAAGAGAAAGCTACAGAACCAAATTATTTAATTATTTAGCTGCGCGTTCTCCTGTCCTCTGTCCTCCAGGCCACACACACACACGGGACTGTCTCAGCTGTTATTTTCGTTAAGGAGTGTGCACGTACAGCATGCGCGCCTCGTGCACGAGCCTACTATTGAAGCTGCCGTTACGCTTTTGGCCTGAGGGGGCAATCACGAGCACAAAAATTCAAAACCCCGTAAAGTCCCTTTAAAGATTTTGACTTGACAAAATTGAAACAAAGACTTTTGGACTTTTTTTTTTGCCCACTTAACTTTTGGGACTAGAACTTGGATCTGGTGAGAGAAAATCTACCCAGTTCATGTTTTTCTCCCCAAATTCTTCTTTTGTTTAATTAACCTGAACAAAGACACGATCGTGTCGACGAGTGGTTTGAAACTCCATTTTAAAGCGTGTCAAACTAATTTGTCTACCTCCAACTCACAATTTCTAGATTAAGAGTAAGATACCGTCACTAGTTTCTGAAGTCCTTTAAGGACCATTAATCCTACGCCCAGATTTCCATGGATCACCAAAAATCTGACCTCTAACCTCTTGAGTTTACGTTAGGAAAACACTAAACCTGTTTAAATTAAAACTAGCTTTGTTTTCATGCATTTTTATTGAGATCAGTTCGCTTTTATAGAAATCTGCAAAAGTAGAAAAGTTAATATTTAATCTAATAAAAACATTTTTTAAACAGCATGGGGTCAAAACGTCAAGCAGAAGCAACAGTTACATCATTTCGTTAAATATCCTGTTCCAGGAAATCAGAATAAAATTCTCTTTTATGACAGGAACAGACTGAAAATGATGACCGACTGTTGAGATGAACTCAGAAAGTCTCAGAAAGCAAGAACAGTTTGAGTCCTACCACTGAGGAGACATGATGAAGATCCTCCTCCGGCTTCATCCTCCTCAGATCCAGTCTGCAGGTTCTAATTCCAGCATAAAATCCCAGAATAAATCCCTTCTACAAGTTCATAATGATCCGGATCAGAATCCCATTCGAGATCTCTTCTTCTTGGGCTCGGACCCCTGGGACAGCCCCCGCCCCGCCTGAGACGACTGAGAGGACGCCAGCGATCCAAAGAGGTTTGTGGCCCGATTCGACCCGGCAGTTCTCCGAGGAATGGACTGGGAGCCGGGGAACTGGGGGGAGGGGTCGACGGTGTTAGAAAGGGGGATGCCGTCCAGCGAAAACAGGTCGTCCTGGAAAAATCAGAACCAGTCGAGAGTTTAACCAACATCACGGCGTTAGAGAGAAAACCTTCGCTACTGCAGGACGGGATGAGATGGTTCTGATTAGAATTTAAATTTACCCTACAGCGAGAGACTGATCACCTGGACAAGCGTGTGAGAAACAGAGCAGACGTTGGCGTTGGCACGGCCATATCTGGGTTAGGGCTGCAGCGATTCGTCGACACTGTCGTCAAATATCGACAATAGAAATAGTAATGAATAGTAATGAATTTCATTGTCGACGTCGTCGCCAGACGTGTTTCTTCCGACCGAGTGAGGCATCTCACTTCATTACAATCTCTGCTGAGAGCCGCACGTGCGCAATAGCGTCTCTGCTGAGCGCCAACTAACAGAAATGGCGGTGTCGGTACAGGATCGGCTCGGGGTCCTTCGACTGCCGATGGACTCCAGGCGGCGCCAAGCATCTGTGCTGACGTTGCCTTGGTCGCTGTGAATGTCCCCATTTCAGCTAACCAGTAATAAAACAAACAACAACAACAACTGTCTGATAGCATCTCCAGCGGAAAGGCACATCCCATCGTCTCCCAGTACACCTCCACCAGTGGGATCCCGTTCCCTGACCAGTATGGAGATGTAACCCCTCCAGCATTGGGAAAGACAACACCTGGAGTTTTTAAAGTCATCGATTCACGTTCAAGCACGACGCAAGATGGCTCAGTGACGTTTATATCAATATATGTATATATGTACATGTATGTGTATAAATATACACCCAGTACATTTCTAGTCAGCAGCCTTTCCTCCTGCTAGCTTGCTGCTAATCCTGCTAGCTTGCTGCTAATCCTGCTAGCTTGCTGCTAATCCTTCCCTGACTGTCAGATGTTCTAGTGCATTCTTATGCAAAAACGTCTGAGTTAATGTTCTGGTCTAAACTTCGTGCTTCAGCGAGCCTCGACGTTGTGATTGATGTCTACCCTGTTTGTGTTGGAAAGGGCTGACCAGGTACGGGGGCCTGCTGCGACCAAAATAGCTCAGAAACTAGCATGAATCCAGTACGCGCTCGTATGAGAGAATGCTGAGTCATGTTTGTCCTCCTATAAAGTTCAACCTCACTGAAAAACTATATTTAAAGATTATTTCATTATAATGGGCCACTCTCATGCAGGCTGAAGGTGAAAAACATCTCCTGCATTAGCTTCTGATGGAAAATGGATGGTGAAACGCAGATGAATGTCACACCGTCACTGACGGGCTCACCTGTCTTGAATCTCGATGGGGAGGAGAACGCCTCGGCTAGTAGAAGCTAACCCTTAGCATTAGCAACTCCACCACACACCTGAACTCCTTCAGGCTTTCGTTATTGGTGGAGAGGAAGCATCAACGTTGCAGAGCAAACAGAGTCCTAATATCAGGAAATAAGACTCCCAAAACCTCTCATCTGATGCTATTTCTGCTCCAGCAGACTTCTCCGTCCTCAAATAGGAGAACCGAGCTTTTTTCCCACAGAGAACGCGTTACAAGGCATTAGGGCTGGGCAATAAATCGAAAATCAACGTCCGTCCGTCCGATCGATCGATCGTCGGGTCGACGGGTAAGTTGAGAGGCCCGGACTTTGCTCTCCCCGGTCTCTTGGCCCAGCTCCTCCAGGGAAACCCAAGGCGTTCCCTGGCCAGGTGAGAGACATACGGTGTTTCTCAATGCCAAGGAACCTCGCCTTGATGTCACGGCCCCGCCCCGGTTGCCTAGGAGATACGTCATCGGGAGCCGCCAAGACGTGTTCCAATGCTCATGTTCTACCAAGGCGTGTGATCTCCGTTTGTTAGCCGTTTAGCTAGCTGAGCGAGGATACACGGGAGGTGTCTTGTAGCCTAGCCTTGGTCAAAAATTACCCATAACACACCGCAGTATTTTCAAAAGGACGGCGGATCAGAAGCTGGCAGCTACTTCGGGGACAATTTTTAAGTTTAAAAGTAAGTCAGCTAATTTAAAATGTTATTTTAGATCCAAAGAAGTTATCTATGGTTGGTTAGTAGTTGCAGCTTCGCTGGCTAGCGGGTAGTAACTCACTTATATTTTTAATTTAATAAACACAATTTAAAAAGTAAAAGGCTCGTTATATATTTATATTGAAACTAATACATATAAAATATAACGTTATCTCCCGTGTCACGTGATGTTACGTGACCGCCGTGGAAGCCGCGGTCACGTGATGCAAGTCTGTTCCATTTAACCGTTTTCTTTGACCAAGGAAGGACCGTGTCCTCGTAAGCAAGGCGCCTTGACATTGAGAAACACCCATAGTCCCTACAGCGTGTCCTGGGTCTACCTTTAGGTCTCCTCCCGGTTGGACGTGCCCAGAAAACCTCACCAGGGAGGCGTCCAGGAGGCATCCTGACCAGATGCCCGAGCTGCCTCAACTGGCTCCTCTCGATGTGGAAAATTCATCGTGATCAAAATTTCTGACTGTTAGAGAATTTTTCCCATGTCAATAAATTTGTTAATAAAAGAATTAAGAGGTGTGTAGGTTGGCAGCGTTCCCGTCCCTTTAAGAAGCTCTACCACCTTGAGTCGCATAAAAATATGACTCAACGTAATACGCGTGACAGCCCCATCTAGTGGCCAACTTTTGTTTCTGCACACACCCGTAGTTATCGTCCACTTATCGTTATCGAGGTGAAATCCTCAATATATCGTGATCTTGACTTTAGGCCGTATCGCCCAGCCCTACAAGGCATTAACTACTACTAGTAGAACTAATAAGTAGTTGACCTTTAACTAGTGACCCACGTGATCGTGATCCTCGACTTAGTGGATGCATTCCATCATGGATGCTTTAGTTTTCCAGGGCCAGAAAACTTTATGTTCTGAATGACCTGATGTGGACATTTCAATCTGCTACAAACTAATCAGAACCAACGGAACCGGACCGGGTTGGATAATCTATTAATGATCTTACCTGTGTCCCAAACAGAGAGTCCAGGTAGTCCCTGGCTGGACGGTTGGTCCTCCTCTTACTAGTCGGTGTGGCCTCAGGACTACCTGGTTGGGTTGGTGGAAGGGGGCGTGGCCTTTTGGGTGTCTGAGGGTCATTGTTGTCCCCTATAAAGCACTCAGGTGTAGCGATTGGGGTGGGAGGGCGACTTCCATCGAGTTTCGAAGGCGTTGAGTTCGTTTCATTCCTTAGAAAGGTTTCCAGCTGGGACAAGGCCTCCCCTTCGTCCACGTCCGTCCACTCTCCCTGACTGGCTGCGGACGACCAGCCGGCTGAGATGGAGAAGTCGTCCAGATCAGACTGGTAGCTGATGGAGGAGGTGAAGCTGCTGCTAAGCTCTAAGCATCGACCCGCGGCTCTCCTCGCCTCCTTCTCTCTTCTCCGCCTGCTCCGCAGAGCCTCCGCCTTCGTCACCCTGTTCATTCCCAGATGATCCTGCCACCAGGCCCGCCATGCTTCCTCACCCTCCCAAGAGACAGTCAGACGGCTGCTGAGCTCATCTATCCACTCGTCTGGGTGCACTATACCTGGCAGTGGCACCACATCGGGAGGCTTGATGGAGGAGGAGCTGTGGAGCAGCAGCGAGCGACTCGACATGCACGACCTCATCTTCATCCTCGAGACTTTCTCTTTTTCCTTCTCCGTTGCTTTTCGTGGATCTTCTTTGGGAAGTTTGAGCAGACTTTTAGTTTGGGTCCTGAAATAGTCCGCTCTGGGGCCACCTGAATGCTTGTCTTTACTCTTCAGCATCAGTTTTTGGAGCCAAAGTTTCCAGGTGAGGAGAGTCCTGCTTCTGAGTTCCACCGGAGTCGCATCAGCATGGCGGCTGGAGCGTCGAACCTCTTCATCGGCACGTTCCTCAGCGTCATTTCCACTGGGCGAAACCGCATCCTGCTCATCATTAACAACGACCTGCAGCTTCATCAGCTTCAGCGTTTGATCTCTGCCTCCCGACTCCTCAGAAGAAGAATCAGAACCAGAACCCTGTGACTCAGGAACAGCCTCAGTCGGAGTTGGACCGATGACGTCCTCGTCGCTCGACGTCTCAGAGACGACTGCGCAAGAATCTGCTGGACGACTCTCAGGTGTTCCTCCTCGTGACGCCGGGAGGTTGTTGACGTTTGGTCGGTGTTCGTCTCCTAAAGCCAGAGCTCCAGACGTGTTCCTCGTCTGCAGCTTGTGTTCCAGGACCTGATAGAAAATGTCTCCGTCCTCCGTCAGCTGTAGGACACATAAGGACTCCTGGCTGTGACCTTTTCCCCGTGCTTCTCTCCGGATACAAGTCAGACCTGAAAACAAACAAGACAAATTAGTAACTTAATCCGGTGAACCACTGAGCCACAAAAAGGCTTCTAAACGTCTGGGATGAAAGACTTAAGAGTGACTAAATCTCCCTGAGGGTGACGTGTGTTCACCTTTACCTGTCGCAGGTGCAGAGAGCCTTTTGGTGGCGATGTCCAGGCGGTGAGGAACCTGATCGAGGAGGTGTTTGAGGCTCTCTTTGGGTTGGAGTAGAGCCTGAACAGAACCACGACTGTAACAGGGGTCCACTCGTCCTCCTGAACAGACCCAAACCAGAGACAGTCAGACGCAGATAACCTCACAAACACTCGTCTGCGTGGGCGTTACGATCAGCACAGCAAACCCCAAAAATAACTGAATTCATGTTCGATGAGCAGCAGCAGACAACAGGCTCCGCCTCCTGCTCTGTCAACGACTGCGTCTAGCATCACCGGGACACCACAGCCTTCTCTGCAGAGCATCTACCACCACGTCCGCAGCATGGGCTGTTCTCACTCTTCCCCTCAGCCCGGTGGTAGAAACGTGCGAAATTCAGGATCACCGAGTCTCTTTAAGTCCCATTAGTTGTCCACCGGTGTGTGAAATTTGTTCCCTGTATTTGACCCATCCCCCGGCGGTGCGGTGAGCTGCAGATGCAGCTGTGCTCAGGACATTTTTTCCTGTCCTGCATTATGGAGATATTTTGTATACGAACGTTTCTGCTAAACGTCTTCAACCACTTGACACCGTGCATCATGCTGCTCTAAGGTCTATCACTAACCGTAAATAACCCCAACTCTCAGATGGGATGGCCTGCTTTGACCATCAGGAGGAAGTCTCATTTTTTCAGATTTATATATAAGGCGCTACTTGGCCTGCTACCTTCCTGTATTACTTCCCCACTTAAAATGAAAACTGCAGGTGGTTATTCTCTTCGTCTACAAGACACGTTGCTGCTTTCTGACCCGTTTGTACGTCCTGAACTTGGAAAGAGAGCTTTTGCCCATTCAGCGCCGCCATCTTGGAATGAGTTGCAGGAAAAACGGAAGATGACAAAGTTTATTTCATTGAATGTTTTTAAATCTAAACTAAGAAATCTTGAGAGCAACTCAATAACATGCAACTGTTTTATTTAGACTGTTTTTATTTTTGGGCTTGTTTAAAGTTTTAAATATTTTACTTAACTTTGTTCTTAGAAATGTTATTTGAGATTGTTTTTTTTTCATACAAGTTTAAACTGTAAATGTTGTCTTGTGTATTTTTGTGATGTTTGCTGCAGGACTCCCTTGAAAAAGAGGTTTTAAATCTCAATGGGATGTTTTTTCCTGGGTAAATAAAGGTTAAATAAAAATAAATAAATAAATATTTACTGTAAATATGCTTACAGGTGCTGGCCAGTAAATTAGAATATCATCAAAAGGTTGAAGATATTTCAGTAATTCCATTCAAAACGTGAAACTTGTACATTATATTCATGCAATGCACACAGACCAATGTATTTCCAATGTTCATTACATTTAAATTTGATATTCATAAGTGACAACTAATGAAAACTCCAAATTTGGTATCTCAAAAAATTAGAATATTCTGAAAAGGCTGAATATAGAAGACACCTGCTGCCACTCTAATCAGCTGATTTACTCAAAACACCTGCAAAGGCCTTTAAAAGGTCCCTCAGTCTTGTTTTGAAGGCACCACAATCATGGGGAAGACTTCTGGCTTAACAGCTGTCCAAAAGACAATCATTGACACCTTGCACAAGGAGGGCAAGACACAAAAGGTGATTGCTAAAGAAGCTGGCTGTTCGCAGAGCTCTGTGTCCAAGCACATTAACAGACAGGCGAAGGGACGGAAAAAATGTGGTAGAAAAAAGTGTACAAGCTCTAGGGATAACCGCACCCTGCAGAGAATTGTGACGACAAACCCATTCAAAAATGTGGGGGAGATCCACAAAGAGTGGACTGCAGCTGGAGTCAGCGCTTCAAGAACCACCACGAGGAGACTCATGAAAGACATGGGATTCAGGTGTCGCATTCCGTGTGTCAAGCCACTCTTGAACAAGAAACAGCGCAAGAAGCGTCTCGCCAAGGCCAAGGACAAAAAGGACTGGACTGATGCTGAGTGGTCCAAAGTTATGTTTTCTGATGAAAGCAAGTTCTGCATTTCCTTTGGAAATCAAGGACCCAGAGTCTGGAGGAAGAGCGGAGAAGCACAGAATCCACGTTGCATGAGGTCCAGTGTAAAGTTTCCACCGTCAGTGATGGTGTGGGGTGCCATGTCATCTGCCGGTGTTGGCCCACTCTGTTTCCTGAGGTCCAGGGTCAATGCAGCCGTCTACCAGGAAGTTTTAGAGCACTTCATGCTTCCTGCTGCTGACCAACTTTATGGGGATGCAGACTTCACCTTTCAACAGGACTTGGCACCTGCACACAGTGCCAAAACCACCAGCACCTGGTTCAAGGACCATGGTATCCCTGTCCTTGATTGGCCAGCAAACTCGCCTGACCTTAACCCCATAGAAAATCTATGGGGTATTGTGAAGCGGAGGATGCAATACGCTAGACCCAACAATGCAGAGGAGCTGAAGACGACTATCAGAGCAACCTGGGCTCTCATAACACCTGAGCAGTGCCACAGACTGATCGAGTCCATGCCACGCCGCATTACTGCAGTTATTGAGGCAAAAGGAGCCCCGACTAAGTATTGAGTGCTATACATGCACATTCTTTTCATGTTCATTCTTTTCAGTTGGCCAACATTAGAGAAACAAACATTTTTTCATTGGCCTTTAGAATATTCTAATTTTCTGAGATACCAGATTTGATGTTTTCATTGGTTGTCACCTATAAATATCAAAATTAAACGTAATAAACATTGGAAATACATTGGTCTGTGTGCATTGCATGAATATAATGTACAAGTTTCACGTTTTGAATGGAATTACTGAAATATTTTCAACCTTTTGATGATATTCTAATTTACTGGCCAGCACCTGTATATTTGATTTATTTGTATTTTATGCATCCAGCTGACATCCAGTACGAACAAACAAAGAATTTTATTGTGCAGGGAAACGTGTTTCTTTACGGTGCTTGACACTAAAGCTTTGATGGGATTTGAACTCGTACATATTGCTCCTTTATGGGTTTTTCTGTTGTCCTTTTGACCGAATCACTGCTGGTTTGCGCTGAAGCACATTGGTGTAGATTCTCAGTCATCCTGGATGTGATCTTGAGGCTTTTAATGTTTTGATGCGATGACGTCATTTCCTGTCATGGTAGTGAACATTACTGTACAAGGTGAGCATTGTAATGAAGGTTGAGTTGAAGAAAATAATGCGCCAAATAAAAATCTCAATTCCATCTTTTCCTGAAATCATTCAGACCTAACCAAGAACCTCGAGCTGAACCTGAAGTTTTCTAAGGCATTAATTCTGCTTTGTATTTTAGGCTCCGCCCACTTTTAATAAACCTCACCTGAGTACTGAAGCATCATGATTTCCTGAGAACGCTGCGAGCCGAGCAAAACCTTCGTGGTTTTATCCTTCCCTGAGTCAGACGCAGCAGATGGCGGAACAACGTGACAGAAGATGGGCGGGGCCTTCATCATGTGATCCCACTTGAGCATGGGCGTGCACGGGAAGCGCTCATCCATGATATATGCTGAATACTGACAAACGGAGGAGTTAACCTAAGTTAAATTAAACTTTCAATAATAACAAAGTGTGTTCAGCTCGTCTGAAGTACCTGTGTGGTGATGAGGTGATGGAAAGGGTGAACGTCTCCCAGATACCTGGACAGGAGGAGTCTTTCCCCGCTCCGACACTCCAAAGAAGAGCTAATACGGAACAGGGTGTGGCCAGAAGTCAAATTCCCCTGGAGGAAGAGGAAACAAGACTGACTACTGAATAAATGACTAAATAAAAGTATCACAGATCCGAATCAGAGGCTACAGGTTAGCTACCCTCTCTCATCACTCCCTAGATCCATCTACGGCGTTCCTTGAAGAGCAAGTCAGCCCCAAATCAACTATTTTTTTCTGATAAACTATATAAATGCGTGTCTAATCGTGCTGCAGACACGTGTAGTCAGTAGTTTAGCACTTTAGTGCATTTTAGTTAAAATTTTCAGCCTAAAACTGCCAGTGTTGTGCCGTTGTCAGGTAAAAACTCATTTGAATTTAAATCTGCCATCGCTATTGGCTAAGAGGTACCCTAGAACGTTAGCTGGTACCATATGATGTCACAATGTCGTTGTGAGCCTGTGAGTGTGTATTTGTTAGCAGCTCCACCCTCTCGGTCTGCTAGGCAACAGCATTTGTTGCATTTTTCAAACAGGAAGTGGGAGTGGAGTAAGAATCTGGTAGGGGGTGACTTGCTCTTTAAAGCTGCTTTAGTAAATCTACAGAACAAGCTAGGCTTTGAACGCAAACACTCAGCCCTCCCCTCGGGTATCTCCTGAGCCGGAACCGGACACCCACATCGCCAGAGGAAACGAGACCGCCCCAAACACCGGTCTCTGTTTTCTAGGTCCAAACGTCTTTTGTTGTCCGTGACTTCAAATGGTGATTTTCTTTTTGGGACTCTGGTAGTTTGTCCTAAAGCTGAAGAGGTAGCAGCCGGCTGTTTCTCCTCCTCTGATATTATTGAGCGGAGAACCTCTCACACCAGTGGTGTTCTGGTGCTGAATACGTGTGTGTGATGAGTGGAGGACCCAGGGAAGTGTGGCGGTTCGGTGGCTGGTTTCAGTCCGAAATCTGTTATTGGTGGAGGCTTTTAGACGAATGCGAGAGAACCACTTCAATGTTTATTTGTGTGTTTTTTAACAGCAGTATATTTAATAGTTAAAGAGCAAGTCACCCCCTACCAGATTCTTACTCCACTCCCGCTTCCTGTTTGAAAAATGCAACAAATGCTGTTGCCTAGCAGACCGAGAGGGCGGAGCTGCTAGCAAACACACACACACACACACACACACACACACACACACACACACACACACACACACACACACACACACACACACACAGGCTCACAACGACATTGTGACATCATATGGTACCAGCTAACGTTCTAGGGTACCTCTTAGCCAATAGCGATGGCAGATTTAAATTCAAATGCAGTGCAGAGTTTTTACCTGACAACGGCACAACACTGACAGTTTTAGGCAGAATATTTAAATTTTAACTAAAATGCACTAAAGTGCAAAATTACTGACTACACGTGTCTGCATCACGATTAGACACGCCTTTATATAGTTTATCAAGAAAATAATAGTTGATTTGGGGGTGACTTGCTCTTTAAGGACCCGTGGTGAGACTGGTGTCACAACCCATTTCAAACATCTGCAAAATTGCTTCTTGAGTCAAATATTCAAGTTTGAAAACCCAAAGTGACATTCTATCCATGCTATATCAAAAATTATTGTACTTCTTAATTGTATTTAATGTTTTTCTACATTTTGATGTATTTATTCCAATCTGTTTTCTAATTCTAAAGGCTTTGGGTTCTAAAGGGTATGTTAGAACGTTGTTAAGAGCCACGAAAGATGTTTTAGGCTCATTTGTTTCCCAAATTTGCCGTCGTAGCTTTAAGGTTCTGCCCTAGATCCAGTTCTGTTTCTCTATGCTTGTTCTTGCAGGTCTCATTCCCATAGCAACCGTGCAACAATTCTTCTGAAATAGGAATGGTCACTCCGAGTTTCACACTGATGTTGAACATGAAAACGTTCCCCAACACTGTGTCTTCCATCTCATTTTCCTGTTCTTACTTATAGCAGCCATGTAACCAGTTACCTGCAGCAGCAGGCTATAGCTACACAAACGTTAGCCGTTAGCGCTAGTGCACCTGGCTGCTAGTGAGCCATGCGGCTCTATTCCAGCCAGTGATTGGTGCAGCAACACTTGATTGGCTGTCCACCTATTCCATCGACCCGTTGTCATTTGTCCATCTAGGAAAGGTTATTCTGGAATATATATCGCCATCGTTCTATTGCCTAGCGTTACGATCGGGTCAGAAAAAGCCCGTCTCTTCTGCATCACGGGGAAAATTACTATTCGTGGGACCGCCCACGAGAAGAGGAGAGAGTAGAGTGTGTCTCGGCTAGGAGAAGCTAACCATTAGCAACTCCACGACGTGGCAGAACACATTCAGGCTTGTGTCGTTTGTGGAGATCAAAAAGCAACGTTGCAATTTTTAACCAAGAACGAAGAGCGAACAGCGGTAGCGGAAGAGTCGCATTGCTATCAGAGGCAAGAATCATGAACATTAACGAGCAAGACTCGTAATTCAAAGCAGAAGTCGACTGATGTTGGTTTTCTATTGCTGATACCGATATGTGGCGGTCATGGTCAGCCCATGGGTCATTTGTGCTGCCGATGTTTTGGGGCCGATTTTCACGGCCGACGTTTAGGTGCTTCCACTTTACCTTCACACTAAAAGGTGACTAAACACATCAGCTGACAACGTTTTTGAAGCTGAATCAGTTTTTGAACCCTGAATTTAACCAACTATTAAATCTTAATCAGACACCTAACTAAAGTTACTCAAATTAATCAGTAAACTGACCCAGGATTTTATTTTTAAAACTGGTAAAGAAAAATACGTTTTAATTTAAAATTATTTTAGAGCATTTGTCATGCAGATGTTATTCAGGAACGTAAAATACAATTGAATGAAATTCTGCAGCAGCACCGGGCTGCCCGGGGACGTGCCTGTGTTTAAATCGGCTTCACTAGGGAGGTAAATATCAGCCTAGCCCTAACCCAAGGTTTACCCGAGAAATACAATTGAATAAAAACACGAATGAGGTTTGGTTTTCCACTTTTTCACTGCTGCCCTCACCCTCATGTCGGTAAGCTCCGCCCCCGTCCGATCTGCATACAGCATCACTCTGGGATGAGCAGAAAACTCGCACCATCTCCACGACGACTTGGCATTGAAGTACAAGTTGGTGTCTTCAGCGTAGACCTTCTGCAGCCTGAACAAACATGATTAGCAGCCTAACTTTCTGCTTCGTGTCCAGATGTTTCTCCGTTTCACATCCTCGGCAAGACGACAGTCTCACCCTTTGCCGACGGTCCACAGGTTTGCCGCTCCGCTCTCACTCGCCACCAGAACTTCACCTAAAATGTGAGGACTGAGGACACAAAGCAGACATCAAACCTGCATCAGGTGACATTAGCCTATAAGCAGGTGAGCTGACCTGACCTGACCTGGCGCTCACGCAGGTTAGAACCTCCTTGGTGCGGACCACCTGCAGCAGACGAGGGTTGTTGGTTTCACTGAACCTCCAAACTCCGCAAAGACGATCCGAACGCACAGCCACACAACCTGGAACAGCCAGAACACTCCTGTAAGCTCCACCCGGACCCGAAGGAGACAGAAACCTCCGACGGGACTTCTCTCACAGTCGCTGAAGAGAGAAGAGCTGCTGATCTGTCTGATGGGAGCTTTGAGCTGGAAGCTGACTGCATCCCTGCTCAGATCCAAACCGTGATGCTGCAGCATCACCTTGTGGAAGTCTGGGGTACTGCCATAAGAATCACAACTAGATGGAAAAAAAAACTTTAAACCTCGTAGTGCTGACGTGAAATCCCAAAACACACCCTTCTCATCTAGGCCTGGAGGTCTGAAGCCCCAAATGGCTTCAATCAGCATAAAAAACTAGTTGTGTTCAAGCTAAAAGGAAGTCCGTGACGTGTGGAACCGCCTCCACACCCACTTCATACAACCATAGTGCCATCTTTATGAAAACACAATCGCTCCACATTACCGCCCCAGACTGACCCCTTAAAAAGGAACAAAGGCTCCCTGGTGCGCCGTGGAAGAGGCTGGAGTTAGCGCTTCCTCGACTGTCGGCTGGTTAGGAGGAA